TGATGCTCACCTTGCCATGGTGTAGGTGTCCACAAAGTGTAACATTCCGGATCAATTCTGAGTTGTCCATCAGATCTGCAAGAAAACTAAGAGAAAAAGATCAAAGAGAGGAAAAAATTGTTAGTGATGATCACTGCCAAGGAAAATTTCCTTACAGATGCACTGATCTCCCACTTCATCCTTGTCAGAGATGGAAATCATTACAGCCTTATCAGTTTTTGAGAATCAATACTTTGCAGTTGTCTATTTAAATTAACCCCCCAATACTGGAGTGATAAGGATATATTTCCCCAAAATCTCTTTACAAAGTGGAAAAGTTTTTCTCATATTAAAATGTACACTAGGGCAAGATTATTGCCCTATTGAACTGAGATGGGAAGAGAGCAATATTTTCTATATTAATGTTAATTAAAGTTCGGTGAAATTTGTCTGTTTTTAATACTTTAACTTATAATTCATGTTGACAATATTCTGGATTTCCTCATTTCTCTTTCATATTACTGGCCTCCTGCAGCAAACATTTGAGAGTGGGGAATAAAATCTGCTATAGTACTGATTGTAAGTTCTGCAGATAATGAGATAAGTAGGAAAGAGTTAGCATATGACAAAGAACTGATGATTGGTAAACAAAAAATGAGTACAATATAAAGGGTAGACATTAAAATAATGTATGAGTGCAAGGTTGATTACATAAAGTAGATTAAGGGGCTGATACTTAGAAGAGCAGTGCAGTAACACAAGAACATAATGCAAATTAAAATGGTTACTGTAACAACTACCGTATTTTCCGGCGTATAAGACGACTGGGTGTATAAGACGACCCCCAACTTTTCCAGTTAAAATATAGAGTTTGGGCTATACTCACAGTATAAGACTACCCCTCTTCCAATGCACACCAAATAAAAATTTAAAAACATCAGATTTGATTTCAATATGGTAATTTTAATTCAAATGCTTATGACATGCAGGTACTTAGCAGAAAAACTGTCATTTATAAACATAAGGCTGTCATCAAACATATAAACATAAAACAGTGCAAGTGGATTAAACTTTTCCTAATTCACTCTAAAGCTGAAAGGAAGGATAAGACAATAAAAACATGGGAGCTGCCATGCTGTTTGTTTTCTAAGCTGTCAACCAAACTGAACTGATGATGATAGGAGGAAGATAAAAAACAATAGAAAGAGCAAGTGCCGGGCAAGTCCCTGGCAAGTCAGCAACGCACGCCTCCTTTCTCCCTCCAATCCTTCCTTCCCACCCCGATTTCCAGCTCGGAAAATGCAAAGCGTGTGTGTGTGTGTGCGCGTGGCCTCCTTTCCCTCTTCCCTCTCCCTCCAATCCTCCCATCTCAGAAAGCAGCGAGACGCGTGTGCACACACACACAACACACACACGCCTCCTTTCCCTCTTCCCTCTCCCTCCTCTTCCAATCCTCCCTGATTTCCAGCTCGGAAAATGCAATCCTTCCCAGCTCAGAAAGCAGCGAGGAGAAGCGTGCGCACACACACACACATGCACACACGCCTCCTTTCTCCCTCCAATCCTTCCCCCCCACCCCGATTTCCAGCTCAGAAAGTGCAAGAAGCTCAGAAGTGCAGTGAGGAGAAGCGTGCGCACACACACACAAACACACACACGCACGCACGCCTCCTTTCTCCCTCCAATCCTTCCTTCCCACCCCGATTTCCAGCTCGGAAAATGCAAAGCGTGTGTGTGTGTGTGTGTGTGTGCGCGTGGCCTCCTTTCCCTCTTCCCTCTCCCTCCAATCCTCCCAGCTCAGAAAGCAGCGAGAAGCGTGTGCACACACACACAACACACACACGCCTCCTTTCCCTCCTCCCTCTCCCTCCAATTCTTCCCTCCCACCCTGATCTCCAGCTCACAGTCATTTACCAGCCTGTGACTTCAAGTTAGCAAAAAGCAGCTGCAAACCACACGCCTGCTAGAGGTTAGCCCCTGCTAGAGGTGAGCCGCGGGGACGGATTGCTGAAACAAACCGCTTAGAGTTTAATTGCTCTCCCCACTGCCACTCTACCAATCAAGGACTCTTTTTGAGTGGGGGGGGGAAGAGAAAACTTGATGAGTAATATACCAAACCATATGTGTAAAGGAATAAAATAGAATACCCGTATTTTCCGGCGTATAAGACGACTCGGCGTATAAGACGACCCCCAACTTTTAAGAAGGTTTTTGTGGCCTAGAAAGTCGTCTTATACGCCGGAAAATACGGTAAATCTTTTAGTGGCCAATTTGTGAAGAAGCTGTGCAGAAAAGAACAGAATGAAGCAAAAACAGTAGTAAGAGTTGGAAGGAAAAGAAGAGGAAAAAACAAACAAATCCAAAGTTCTACTCACTCCATTTCATATACAGTAACTGGCAATGTTTGCTCCATGAGGGAAAATTTCTTGGTCTTCACTGGTTTAATAATAGGTTCTGTAGGAAAAGAAAGCATTGAAATAATACTGTCTTTAACGGGAAAACAAGGCATTTCTAACTCAGTGATCAGTGAGAAAAGATTCAATAATGCATGCTTCTCATGTCACAAATTTTAAACCGAATTCCATGGATTTCTGATTTATGCTTGACAAATAAAAAGATATATTTTTTGCTTACAAAGAGGCTGGGAATATTTCCCAAATATCAAATAGTGAATGTAATTAATAGCACATTAGACAGAACAATATATTTGTCTTAGTTCTCACTGATGTATAACATCTGGCCTAAAATACAGTATGGCAAATCATGTTCATATATAATGTCCTGTGCAAAGTAATAAACACAAAACAGATTTCTTGATCAGGGTTAATACTAGAACTAAAATATAGCATTACATATCAGTATCCATATATGTGTTCTGTGCAAAAGAATAAATATAAAATAGATCTCGATATGGGTTAATACAACAACCTTTCTCCATGATATCTAGTTTTTCATGTGGTAGAATTTCATATACTTTTTCAGTTCAGGAAGATTTACCTAGCAGCTCTATTTATGTCCCTTTAGTATCAGGAAGTTTTTTAGTTTTATTTTTCTTTTTAAAAAACTCAGTGTATTTTAATACTCCTTGAAGAAGCAAAAGTTGTTCTTTTATGCCAGTTGCAACATTTAAATTTCTCACCTGTAAGAGGCTGTGTATCTTCTTCCTGCACTATAGTTTCTACTTCTGGACCATATACCTCCTCAGCTGTTGGATAATATTTTTTATCCTCATGCAACACTACATCCATCCCAGGGTGATCTTCATCATGGTCTCCCATATCATCGTCGTCATCATCATCATCAGGCTGAAACCAAAACAATTTGCCCTCAGCCAACTGTTAATAATAGACTTCCACTTACAGAATTTAGGGCTGATATCTATATTCAGTTATAACTTGCAAACATTTGTGCATATTGGATAGTTTGTAAAATGCTGCCAAACAAGGAAGTACTTTCTCAACATCATGTTAACAGCTACTCTGAAAATTAAGGCTCACATTGTTCTCTGGACCAAGAGATGCAAAATAACAGCTTAATCTTTAATCTGTTCATTATAGAAGCATATAAATATTGTTTGTAGCAGAAGCATAAAATCAGTACCTCATCAAGATCTTTTGACTCACGACCCATTTCATCATCGTCATCATCAGAATCAAGTTCTGGACCAATATAATTTCCAAATTCATCATACAAGTCTGTATCCATGTTGCTGGGTCTTGAATATAAAAATAAATCATTAAATAGAGTTAGTTTGTATTCTGAAAATATTACTTTAATATTTGATTGCTTTGCAATTTATTTAATGTGCCTTACCCCTGCTTGCAGGATTCATATTGGGATATTTTTCAATTTATTATCTTGATACCTTAAATTTTATTGCAAGCTTGATATTTTATCAGCATTTAATCACCACTCCTTTAAATAGCTTATTCTTTGCTTATAGTTTCACATTTTATTTTCAGGTTCTCAGCTATAAGCTATCAATTCATTAGCTTTCTTTCAGTATTAACCTAAGAGTATTTTTTATTCATCAACCCTAACAACTTTCACAATTCTCCCTGATTTTAATTATCCGGTATAACTTCTCCAACTCCTTTTTAGCTACAATTGCCTTCACTTCACAGCATTCACCTTATCCAGAATAAGAACAATTATTCTTAAGTATTAGTCCTTCTAATTCAACAGTATCTTTTTCAGAATTATCAGTCGCAACTTCCAGTTTTAGAATATGATAGCTTTCTGTTATAGGTTAAAAAAAGAAAAAGAAACAAAAAATACCATCTTATCAGAATTCACATGATAGCTGTAGCTTTATTTTCCACAACAAACCTAGTCTATCTTAATGCATGTGTTTTTACTGTTGAGTCCTCTTTATTTCAGAGGAAGATTAAGTATATATTAATCTCATTCGTACTGCAACTAATAAAGACAGGCAGGTATGTTTCAATAAAATCTTGTCTAAGATGTATAGACATTTATTCTCTACAATTTGAAACTGCAAAGTCTTGTTTTTTAAAATCCCTAAATCTGTCTTCCGATTAGCTTCCATACGGTAGGTAGAGTTATCTCAAATCTCTACACGTTGCCATATCCGCTTATTCGAATTCCAGCACGTTCGTTCAAAGTACGAAGCGCGTGCTTTAAGCCTACTGAAAGACATTGTGCAATCTAACGGTCGTTTATCGCTTTAAAAATAAGAATTTTATTTTATATCGTAAGGCTTTACAAGAAATAGTAACGTACGCACACACTTACCTCTTTTTGTTCTCCTTCTCAGGAAGCGCGCGTTGTTCGAGACGTTTCCCTTGCCGGCGCACGATGCGACCATGGCATAAAAAGTCCCTTCAATTTCCTCCGGATAAAGTTGTCCGTTTAGTAGCCTGATTGATTTTTCACACTTTTCCCTCTGTCTGATGCTGTAAAGTGAGAGAGATTTAGAGATTCGGTTTGGATTCTTTTCAGGCTGTAGAAAATTGAAATTTTTCATAAGTATTGACTGCGCTCAGGCGTATATTATAGACTGCCCCGATCGCTATGGGTCCATCTCGCCATTTCGTTTTCTAATTGCTATGGAAACCGAACTGACGCTTAATTCCTATAGAAAGTGGAGGCTCAGGCAGAAAAAGAAACAATCGAACCACGTTTCCACAAACGTGGAAAAATCTTCCCTTCTATTTGGTAACGGTCGGGTTAGCGAGAGAAATCGAGAACAGTTTTTGCGGTATGCATGGGATAGTAAAATAAAACATAAACTGTAGAATCCGTCGGCACTGAGTATGGAGTGGTCGAAAGGTTATTAGTTCGGGCCGGCTTGTTTACCATTTTCTGAGAGAGTTGGTGAATATGTTCTTGCTTTTTTATTTACTATTTTATATTGACGTACTTCCTTTCCGTCAGTACCCGATCCAAGAATAGAATAGAATAGAACCTTGAGGTCTTCTAGTCCAGCCCTCTGCTCAAGCAGGAGAACTTATACCATCTCAGACAAGTGACTGTCTAGCCTCTTCTTAAAAATCTCCAGTGATGGAGTGCCCATGATTTCTGGGGGCAAGCTATTCTACTGGTTAATTGTCCTCACTGTCAGGAAGTTTCTCCTTAATTCTAGGTTGTTTCTTTCTTTGATCAGTTTGCAATCATTGTTTCTTGTCCTGCCCTCTGGTGCTTTGGAGAATAATTTGACGTCCTGTTTGTGTCAGCTCCTCAAATACTGGAAAACTGCTATCATGTCTCCCCTATTTGTTCTTTTCGTTAAACCATCCAAACTCAAGTCCCGCAGCTGTTCTTCCTATCTTTTAGTCTCAAGGGCTCTTCTCTGATTTTTTTCCAAACACTCTTTTTTGTGATATGATGACCAAAATTGGCTGCAGTATTCCAGGTGTGGTCTTACTAGGGTTTTATAAAGCGGTATGAATACCTCGTGGTCTTGATTCTATGCCTCTGTTTATACAACCCAGGATTGTATTGCCTTTTTTGGTTGCTGCTGCACATTGCTGGCTTATGGTTAAGTGATCATCCACTAGGACTCCAAGGTCCCTCTCACAGTTACTGTTTTAAGCCAGGTCTTGCACAATCTGTACTTGTACCTTTGATTTTTCACTCCTAAATGTAAAACTTTGCTTTTGTCCACATTGAAACTCATTTTGTTGGATAGGGCCCATTGTTCAAGTTTGTCAGGATCTTCTGAGGTGTTGGCTACTCCTGTCAGTTTGGTGTCATCTGCAAATTTGATGAGTTCCCCTTCAATTCCCTCATCTTAGTCATTGATGAAGATATTGAAGAGTACTGGGCCTAAGACAGAACCTTGTGGTACCCCATTGCTTACTTCTCTCCATGTGGATGTAGTGCCATTGAGGACTACTCTTTGAGTACAGTTTGCCAGCCAACTACAGATCCATCTGGTGGTGATGTTGTCTATTCTAGCTTTTTCTAGCTTACCAAGGAGTAGGTTGTGGTCTACTTTATTAAATGCCTTACTGAAGTCTAAGTATGTTGTATGTATTATGTTTTAATGTCTTATCTATGTATACACTTTGAGAGGAAGCAACTAAATTTCATTTTTAATGTGTGCCATTGTGCCGACAGGAGAAAATGACAATAAAGGTTGTCTGTCTGTCTGTCTGTCTGTCTGTCTGTCTGTCTGTCTGTCTGTCTATCTATCTATCTATCTATCTATCTATCTATCTATCTATCTTCCACAGTATTTAGCTGGTCTATTAGTTTAGTCACTTTGTCGAAGAATGAAATAAGATTGGTTTGGCATGATCTGTTTTTAATAAATCTGTGCTGGCTACTAGTTATAACTTTGTTTGCTTCTAGTTATTCACAGATCTGTTTTTTGATTATCTTTTCTAGGATATTCCCAGGTATTGATGTTAAACTAATCGATCTGTAGTTTCCTGGGTCCATTTTTTTCCCCTTTCTTGAAGATGGGAACCACATCAGCCCCTTTCCAATCCTCAGGTATTTCCCCAGTGCTCCAGGATTTTTGAAAGATGTGGTGCAATGGTTCTGAGATAACATCTGCCAGCTCCTTCAGAACTCTGGGATGTAATCTATCAGGTCCTGATGATTTATATTCGCCAAGGTCAGATAGGTGTTCTCTTACCATTTTCTTGCTTATTTTAATTTTTGTTTCTGGAGAAAATAATGACCCAAAAGAAGGGTGCATTCAATAGGAAATCCCTTATATGCCAGAATCTACTAGCAAGGATATAGTGGTTGAACTGACTGTAAAAAAATTATAATCTACCAATCTATTTATTTTGACTGATTTTACTGAATAAGTTCACTCACCGGCTTCATGAGAAGCTGACTGTTTTTTCTTATGCAATTATTTGAGAGAGATACATAGTTTTTTCAAATTAAATATCTAATGTATTGGGTAATTGTGTTCTTCTTAGGTTTCCAAAGTGGAAGGCATGATAGATTTCCATGCTTTGGAGAAAGAGCTGGAAGAAGCTATTGCCACAGATGAGAAATACCAGAGAGAAAATGAAGCTAAATTCCGAGCGGTGCATCAGAAAGTATCATCTTATGAAGAATTCAGGTTTCTTGATTTTCAGATTCCTTTATTGATTTGATGCAGAATATGGATAAAACATTTAATTATCCATGAGGGCAACTTCCTTTGAATTTAGGAAATTTATAAACGTATAATAATTAAATAATACTTACATATAAGTATTGTAACTCTGGTTATTTTTAAAATCTGAATTTTTCTGTTAATTTTCGTATTAGCAGTTATTTTTCAGCTGCCTTCCCATTGTTCTATTAGTGCTGAAAAAAATCATTTATTTTATAGTAGCCTATTGGTCTGTTAAAACTGGAGAGTAATACTTGTCTCATAACATTAGTAGTTCTTTAATGTTTATTTCATTGCATGTAGAATATTGGATGATATATTATATTGAATAGCAACTTAAATGTTAATCATGGAATATAGGCATTAGAAAGCAATCTAGGAGACTTTCTTGTCCAGTTCTTTTATCTTGTGCAGGAAATGTAGTACTGCAGAGATATTCATTTCTATGATATATGTTAGTAATATAGTACAGCTTCCATCACCTTCAATTTTAACTTCTGCATATCTGAGAGAAGGGAGCCAAATAACTAACAATTAAATCACTCTTCCTCCTATTATTTTTCATAATATATCAGAGAAAGAAGCAACAATTGGAGCACATAACGCAGAGGCTAGAGTTACCAATTAAAATTGGAAGAAGCAGAGGTGTTCTCTTTACTGCATTTTTTTTCCTCCTACATGTTGCAATCTCTATTGTATATTGTAAGTTATCCAGAGTTTTATAAGGTAGAGTGGCCTTTCCCATAAACTAACAGTTAAGAGGCGAGGCAAGATGCATGATATAACTTTCCTATTTCTTTAATAATTAGATGAAATGAGTATTTGGTAGCTTTAAACCAAGTTGCTGCTGTCAAAATGAGTATCTGAAATGTCTCTAGAACCTTCCTCCATTCTGTCTGCAGAGATATTGTTCTAGCCTCCCATTTGAAACCTCTGGAGCAAAAGGATAAAATGGGAAGTGGCAGGAATGTGTTGTGGAACTCTTGTGCAGTTAAAGCAAATCATAAACAAGAGAGTAAGATAGACTTGCCTCAGGTAAGAGTAATTCTGTCTATGAGCTGAAATATTTTTTTAAATTAAATCTGTTTTATTTTATTTAGGAAGTAGAAGATTGTTTTCTCAATATTTGAATAAATCTAATAATACTATGGAATTATTATTTTCCTATCCTATCCATCTTCCTAATCTATATTGTTTTGTTGAAGAACTATACCCAAAAATGTACAGTAAGAACATATATTTTTTAAGAGATGATGCTTTTGTATTCTGCTTTTCTCCTTTTGGGTCTTTTCTACTTCTGATTGCTCATCATTAATTAATATATTGTGCCATTGTTTTGTTTTAAAAAATCAGTTTCTACCAGCCCTGTTTAAATTTCAGTTTCCATATAATATGTAATTAATATTTTAAAAATGAAGAAGCTGAATTCTTAATTGTGGAGCTGGAAAGTACAATAATATCTAGGTGGTGGGATTTTGTCATTTTTAAAAATTCTCTAGGAATTGGAACACCTGCCTGAGACTTCTGCAGAGTTCTATAGAGATTGGCGTAGATGTATGAAAAACAATCAAGATCGCTATCTCTTCCTCCTCCAACTTGGATCCCAAAACTTGTGCCGTATCTTCCAAATAGATCTTGTTTTTGGCCTCTTGGGTGAATTTCTAGTGGTACTGAATCAAAATGCTTGCATCAAAGACTTCAATTTTATCTTGGATATCTTGGAGAATTTATCAGGCACGAAACGTTTTGGACTAAACATTGAACTTCTGAGTGAGATAGAGAAAGAAAACTGCAGGCAGTTATTTGAAAAATTGCAAAAAATAGAAATTGGCCTTGACAATTTTTCTGAAATTCAACAGATTTCAAATGAAGATGATACAGACGCTATTCAAATCCATTGTCAAGCAGGTAAAGGAACTAAAAAAAAAATGCTAAAACTGATGAACCTTTACCAAATGTCCTCAATCAATTCTTGAGTTTATACTAGTAACTAAGGATGGAAACATTGTAACATAAAGAAAGGACTAGCGTGCCTATTAAGAACATATCTATTCGCTCTTTAGTATGTATTGGAAAAATAGAAGAGCATATGAAAAATAGATACCTAGTCAGAGAGTGTTCGCCTCTTGCCTTTTGTCTCTATTGCAATAAAATGTTATATCAACTTATCAGTTTAAAAGTATGCATTATTTGTTTTTTGAGTACTTTTGTCATATTTCTTATCACACATCTTGATTTTCTGCTTTAGTTACAAGGCTTAGTCCTTGAAGTATGAAAGGCACTACTGACAACTCGGATATTGGCATCTTTGAGCATATTTATTTAAAGGTTTTTTTGACTAATAGGTAATCATAGCAAGCAACTCAGCTGAAATCAGAGAGAAGAACTTTCACTTCAGATTGAAGAACCTGAAAGCAAGTATTAATCATAAACAGGATGTTATTAAGGCATTTTGAGAGAATGCACTTTATTCTTTAGAGCTACATGGTATCAGCGGACGGTATGATAGATTGCTTGTCTGTTCTATTTCTAGATGCTTATCATAGCAATAATCCAATTAACCGTTTGGAAGCAAGCTTTTGAGTATCTGCAATATTCTGACATATTCAGTCACAGCAAAAATAGTATTGTATTTCCAGGCTAATATTAACTTGGTACAATATTAGGTGGGATTTCAACTAACTTAGTCTTGATAGAGAAAAATTTTAAAAACTGTATTATTCCCAGCAAAGCAATAAAACATTTTGAAAGGAAATTTTAAAGAAATTATTTTGGATCATGATATCAGATGAAACTGTCATATATCTAGAACCTACAGCAGTGATGGCGAACCTTTTAGAGACTGAGTGCCCAAACTGCAACCCAAAACCCACTTATGCATTGTTGGGTGCTGGGTGGGTGTGGCCCATTGGGTGGGTGTGGCCCATTGGGTGGGCGTGGCTGCGGTGGTAACAGCAAACTGGGTGGGACTAAAAAGTTCAATCAATCAATTCCAACTTTGCGAGATCTTTTTTTTTCCCCGCGAGAAATTGATTGATTGATTGAACCTTTTTTTTTTTTTGTACACAGCGCAGGCCTAAAGCGAAAAGATTTTATAAAATCCAGCTGAAGGTCTAGGACTGGGGTGATGGCGCGCGTGCCCACAGAGAGGGCCCTGAGTGCTGCCTCTGGCACCCATGCCATAGGTTCGCCACCACTGACCTACAGTATATAGTACTTTCTACTTAATCTTTACCCTATGTGCTGGATCAGTATGTAGAGCATATATTTAGCTTAGAAAACTGTGTGTAGAGCAAGTAGCATTTTAAAGGTTAAAGTGCTGTCCCCTTAAGGGTAGTCTTCTGGGAAATGTAGTTTAGTTGTTACATGGTTATATCTGTGTTCTAATTGGTCAGTTCTATGTCTTAACTAGCCATTGGGAGGGATTTCAATGTTTTATGATAGGGTTTCCTGGCTACATGCCAGCATGTAAAATTTTGTGTAGTACGGCCACAGGACCCTTTGCTCCATACGAACATTGGGTGAATCTACCTTTAATTTTTTACACCACAAGAACAGACAGATTATGATACGTGCCTCAGAAGAACTTTTCTTAACTGTGAGTTATTGTTTAGAGATTCCTGAATAATAAATAATCTGAATATTAATCCGCCTTTGGAGTTAATCTGTCTGTGACAAACAGGAATAAAGCAAATCTCTTGTTTGGATCAGAACACCCTATGTATTCTCTTTCATCCTTCCCATCAAAGTTGCCACAGATACCAGAGAGGCCTTAGCAAGCTGAGAGTACCTATAGCTCTTCATTTGTATTAATCTTCATTACTTTATTAAAGATTAATATGCAGACTATGCATTGTCAAGAAAATTGCTGTTGTTAAGTGGTCAAATTGTGTGGTCTGGTATCATCTTGGGTACACTGAAGTAGAAATGGCATTATAAAAAGATATTATTGTGAAAGTAACAGAAAACAGCATAATAGCATATACATGTTTCAACCAAGAAGTTCAGACTTTGGGGCTTAGCATTATCAGATGAACATAAGCAGATGAACTGTAAGAGGAATGTTATATTATGCCAAAGTGCATTTGTTTTTGTTTTTTATCTAGTTCAGGAGTTCCTTGGACTTTCCTTACAGCTACCCAGCCAGGCTTTGGTTCCAATTCAAATTACAACACTCAAACTCAAAGCAAAAAAAAACAAACAACAAACAAACAAAAAAACATGATTCTACCAGATTCACTTGTATCATTGTCTCAATCTCTAGATCCCTTGATGTCCCATGAAAGAAATTGTAAAAGATTCAGCCATTAAAAGGCTATCTACATTACAACTGCTCTAAGTCATCGTAATTGTAATTAACAATTATATAATTTGATACGTTATGAAGTTTTATCTAGAGTATACTATAGCAGTAAAAAATAATAATAAGAGGGTAGATAGATGGAGGGAAAGAATCTCTGTTTGAGTCTCCTTCCCCCCTCCCCCAATTCAGATGTTATATTAAATCTTGGTAAAATGAAACAGTTAATGAAACAATTGATGGTTGAGCAGTTTAAGACTATTATGCAATTCTATCAGATGATCGGTTCTGGGAAGCTTGAAGGGGAAAGTGCATGCTCATTTCAGCCTGAAATACCAATCAGCACCTCTCTAATTACATTCACCCTCACTTTCAACATAATGGGAGCAGTTTTAACATTACAATAGTAAAATGAAGGATGTCTTATGAAATCCTTTCAATCATAGGCTGATAGGCTGGGATTAACATGAATGCTATGAACCCTGACAAAACAAACAAAAACCAAACAGGTTGCCGAATGTGTTAATATTGTAGTTACAGTAGGTGCAAGTGGGAAAATAATTTTTGTTCCTCAACATCAAATTCATTTAAAGAATTACATAATGGATTTTTTTATATTTTCTTAAAATGATAGGAAAAAACACTGTAACACTGCAGTAATTATACTACAGAAATGGCAGTACAATCTGAAAATCTCTAACAACTGAGCAGAATGTGATCCTAGGTTTTCTGATAATGAGGCAGTTTCATTTATACAGTCAGTCATAATGGTCTGCAAGGGCTTAGATTTGTCTATATCAGAACTCAGTTGGCATTCTAGAACTCAAAGAAGCAATTCCAGAGTCATTATTTCTTATGCAAAGATAATATGTACATATGATGTACATTATTAAAAGATCAGCTCTGAAAGAATTTGAACAAGACCAGAAATTCTAGAATGAAGGTTCTCTTCATTGATGTGCATAGTTAAAATATAAATTTGAAAATTTGTAATTAGCTTCTGCTATAGGACGTGGAAACTGTTGGATAATATAAAATGGACAGCCATCAAATGGTGTCAGCAGGATGGGTTGTGATAGCTATGGTCCTTGGCACTGCTGATGTTCTTCATGCCTTTGCTATTATGGAAAAAGAAGATGTGTTCAAGAAGAATCCTTGCCCAGCTTTCTTGATGTTTGAGAATGCTGCTTATTTGGCTGATATGAGTTTTGAATTGCCCTGTAAATGTAAGCCAGAAGAAATAACCACTGTAGTTTGGTACTTTCAAAAAAGCATGGGCAGTCAGCAAACTAAGGTCTTGACAGATTTTGATGGTACTTTGATAGTAGACTCACGCCACATCAAGGTAGGCAGTGACATGCTTCGTCGTTTCAGCATTAGGATGTTTAGTCTCATTGTCTTCCGGATTCAAGTAGAAGATTCAGGGCATTATATTTGTGGTACAAAGAAAGGGGATTTCTTCTACGGTTATGATATAGATATACAGCCTTCAAAGAGAATAACTATCGCCTTTGCAGATGAGGGTCAGCATCCACAGAATGACCTCCATGAAGCAAATTTCACAGTCCTCACCATTTTCTGGGACTGGACTAAATGCAACCGCTGTGATGTCAGAGGTGAGCAACGAAGAATTGGGCTTTGCTACATAAAGAGTCCTTCTCTTTTCAGGAGGTACCACACCACTATAGAAGAGGTGGCATCTTGTGGCTCAAAATCAATCCCAAAGAATTTCTTTCATGGTATTCAGATGAGAAAGCCTGAAGTTGTTATACGAAGTTGCATGGTATCTTGTAAGAGGAAGATACCTTCAAATGAAGGAGAAGCACCAATTTCAAACATTATCTCAAAGCTTGGAGAAAAACCTTGGATTTCCAATATCCCTATTCAATTCCACAAGCAGTCCCTTGGCAGAGGATTGATCATTGCTTGCCCTGGTACTAGGCCAGAACATGCTGTTGCCTGGGATAAAGATTCAACAAGATTATATCTCAATAGGTTTCTCACTGGGGTTAATAAAACCATGAGGGTCTTCATTGACCATGGAAATCACCTCCACATTCGTTTTACCCAGATGAATGACAAAGGTATTTATTATTGTTGGCGAGAAGGAGAAATAGTTGCTGGATTCCGGCTATCTGTAGTATATGAAAGTCGCCACAGACGAAGTCTTGATGATCCTGAAAGTCAGTATGCTATTAAGGCTATTATCACAAGCTATGTGCTCATCATCATCTTTTTTATAATCATTCACATTGTTCGCTGTTGCCTCTATGTGTTGAAATATACAGCTATGGAATAGCATCTCAAAAAATGACCATAGGCCTAATAAATGATGATGATTGGTTTCACAACTAATTTAATAATTAATTGAGCAACTGTTTCTTTATCAATTAAATATTTCAATTTTAGAATACTGTAGAACACTCAGTGAAGATAAATTTTAGACAATCAGCTCTCTTAAATACGAGAGCTAATATACAGTGAGTAAACAACTGTTAACAGAAGGCAAGGATACTAATATTTTTTCATTATATATGAAATATGATAGTTTTTTACTGTAGAATTCTATGCCTAATAATAGCCCAATTGGTAAATCAATTTAAAATCCATATGTATTGAGAAAAATCCAGAAAAATAGCTAACTGAGTATTATCAGTCTGAGATTCCTGTTGCTGAACTTGTACAGGTTCAAATATACTTGAACAATATACATATATTGCAAATCTGCAACAGTCACACATAGGGCAATCATTCGGTTGACACTGAAGGTAGATGGGTAATTCATTTCTTATACAGTTTAATTGATGTAACAAAGAACAAGCAATTGATTTTGTGTATCTTTTATCTTAAAAGAAACGTCTGTATTTTGTTTATATATATTGTTCCTTTGTAAGCCACTGTGAGAATTCTTTGGAGAATATCAAATAAAGAAACAGAATGAGCAGTGAGAAACTGAAGGAGAAGCAATTTTTGATGTAATGTTTAATTGTAAAAGAAATATAATAATAAACAAGTTTGCAGTTTTAAATAATGCCATTGCTATAGCCTCATACTTTTAGTTTCTATTAAGCATTTACATACAATCCTCTGTAAAACTATAATTAGAAGTTCATCTATTACTATAAATATGCAAGCATGTTTATGTGGCTAGCATACAAAGCAGAACATGAAACTTATGAAGTATTTTAGCATAGTGATTCTAAAAGGAATATATCCAAAATATTAATTAGTTATAATGTTTAATCATGTTTATATGATCCACATTGCTCGTGTTAGGACAGTTAGTTTTACTGGAAAATAGATAAGTTGTGTGTAACTCTTTGTGGTAGAAAATGATGAGTTCCACCATATTCCCTAGTTTTATTTTTTAAAAGAAAAATAAAAGTTATGCCATTTCTTCCACAGTCACAGCTATTAATTTAAATATAGGACATTGAAGGAAAAAAAGAGGTTAAGCATAAACATCATTCAATATTCTTTTCCAAAGTACCATTAAAAACAACAACAACAGCAAGTCACGTAGTCCATGCATAAGTGCGTGCAATGCAAGGAATCAAAAGTGAAAAATGCAATTAGCAGTATTTGTATAACAGCAATAGATACTGTAAGTGACAGCATTCACACAGCCATCTAAAATGGTCATATAAAAAATGTATGTCCCTAGATTTATGTGTTATTTCATTAAGCAGGTTGATTTCTTGAAATTATGCTTGAACATGTGGCTGATATAACAGATGTGAAACCCCAGTCATTCTTCAAATTTCCTTTCCCCTCAAATTGTGTTCATTTAGTTGGGGAAAAAAAAGAGTTTCTCAATGCTTCTCATAGGCATGCTTGTGAAAGTCATGTTGCCTTCTTCCTTCTTTCCTTGTCAACACACCTTGGGAAACCCTAACTTTTGTTACCAGCTTAACTTTCTGCTCTGCAATTGAATTCTGCTTTGCTTTAAGCCAGTGGTTCTCAACCTGTGGGTCGGGACCCCATTTCACGGGGGTCACCAAACAACGCAGTCGGCCATTTTTTCCCCCTTTTCCTTAGCTGTGCCACTCCCTTTTATTCTATTGGCTTTTAAAAGCCAATAGAATAGACTCTCTTGAATAGAGTGTAATTCTATTGGCTTTCAAAAGCCAATAGGAATTGTCCAGGCTGTCTCTGCCCTGCTGAGCCCGCCAAAAGTCCCATTCTGCAAATGGTGCTGCACCAATTGAGTATTCCTCGACTTACGACCGGTTGAGTATTCCTCGACTTACGACCGGTTGGGGGTCGCGGCATTAAAAAGGTTGAGAACCACTGCCTTAAGCTGAAGCAATGATAAAAGAATAACTCTCTGAGCCTTTAGCACAGAGTGGATTGTCATTTATAGCTAGGGCAGGCATTAGCCATAATTCTTAGGAAAGCTGGAAATTGTCATTCAGTAACCTTCAAAGTGCCATAGGTTGCCTAGCCCTGATTTAGAGCAATTGCTTCAATATTTGAAATCATATCAATTTTTAACTTTTTTATTTTTTCATTGACTTGGTTAAACCAAATGAAATTCTATCAAGCGCTTTCCTGCCAAACCTCAAATCTTACAGGCATCTTGTCACGGCCCTTCAGAAACACCTAACCTTTCCTCCTCTATCTTCCTCTCTTTTGCTACTTCATCTTTTGATGTTTTTCCCACTACTTTTCCTCGTCATCCTCTGCACACCACGTGGGGGGGGGGAACTATTTACTTTCTTTGTATAAGATCACTAATTATATTATACAACTTGGAACCTCTTTACAGCAAAGTGGTTTCTAAAGTAAGAATAGACAAGCAACATCTTTTGATCTATACATGGTCATATATTGCCCTTTATTTTTTTTCCTATGGGATTTTTAAAAAAAATTCATGATCTGTGATTTGAATAATCTTATATTTTTATCTCCATTTTCATTGATTTTTGCATGCAATTTCTTAAAACTAAAATGGTATTTTTATGTTTTTCCTTCCCCCTTTCTTAAAAAATAAAATATTTTATTTCTCTTTTGTGAGATTGATCTATCTCTCAAAGAGGAAAAGGAAGAAGGGCTTAGCCCTTAACTGCATGCCTCAGTGCTATAGACACATTTCATTTTTTCCTCATTTTTTTCTCTCTTATTTTCCCACTACCAAGCACTACTCCAAAGAGGGAGGTTGAGCTAAGATGTGTAGATTTATAGGTCTTCTAGGACAGTGATGGCGAACCTTTTAGAGACCGAGTGCCCAAACTGCAACCCAAAATCCACTTATGTATTGTCGGGTGTTGGGTGGGCGTGGCCCATTGGGTGGGTGTGGTTCATTGGGTGGGCATGGCTTTGGTGATAACGGCAGATTATGTGGACTAAAAAGTTCAAATCAGTTCCAACTTTGCGAGATCTTTTTTTTCCTACGAGAAGTTGAAATTGATTGAATCTTTTTTTTTCTGCACATGCCGGCGGAGGCCTAAAGCAAAAAGGTTTTATGAAACTCAACTGAAGGCCTTGGACTGGGGCGATGGCATGCGTGCCCACAGAGAGGGCTCTGCGTGCCACCTGTGGCATGCATGCCATAGGTTCGCCACCACGGTTCTAGGACAAAGATTTTTTTAAAGATAAAACTTGCCTCCTACTGACTAGGGTTCCCTCTTACAAAGGTACAGGAAGCCCTTTGAGAATCTTTGCATATTTCTTCTAGGAAAGAAGCTATGCCTTTAACATACATAGCTAAAACTTTCTCATGGATTATTTTCATTATAAACTCGTAGTAGGATATTTTGCCCCTCAAATTTCAGTCTGTTATACATTTCTTAAAATTATGACTGTTTTACCAGAAAATGGGAATAATCCCGACATAGAAGCCAAGGTGGGAATGTCTCATCCATCAGTTCCCTTGTCCCTTCCCAAGTAATATATTTGATTTCATTACTAAGAAATAATAGATCTAAGCTTTACAATCCATGACACCAAGCTGGTAGGAATAGCCAACACTCCAGAAGACAGGCTTAGGATACAGGAGGATCTGGACAGACTTGAACACTGGGTGCTATCTAACAAAATGAAATTCAATGGTGAGAAAAGTAAGGTTCCACATTTAGGCAAGAAAAACCAAATGTACAGGTATAGTATAGGGGGTACCTTGCTCAATAGTAGTAACGGTGAGAGGGATCTTGGAGTCCTAGTGGACAATCACTTAAATATGAGCCAGCAGTGTGCTGCAGCTGCCAAAAAGGCCAACACAGTGCTGGGCTGCATTAACAGAGGGATAGAATCAAGATCACATGAAGTATTAATACCACTTTACAATGCCTTGGTAAGGCAACACTTGGAATATTGCATCCAGTTTTGGTCACACGATGTAAAAAAGATGTTGAGACTCTAGAAAGAGTACAGAGAAGAGCAACAAAGATGATTAGGGGACTGGAGGCTAAAACATATACAGAACGGTTGCTGGAATTGAGTATGTCTAGTTTAATGAAGAGAAGGATGAGGGGAAACATGATAGCAGTGTTCCAATATCTCAGGAGCTGCCACAAAGAAGAGGGAATTAAGCTATTTTCCAAAGCGTCTGAAGGCAGGACAAGGAGCAATAGGTGGAAACTAACCAAAGAGAGAAGCAACCTAGAACTAAGGAGAAACTTCCTGACAGTTAGAACAATTAACCAGTGGAACAACCTGCCTCCAGAAGCGGTGAATATGCCAACAGTGGAAGTTTTTAAGAAGAAACTGGACAGCCATTTGTCCGAAATGGTATAGGGTTTCCTGCCTGAGCAGGGGTTTGGACTAGATGACCTCCAAGGTCCCTTCCAACTTTATCATTACTATTACTACTACTATTATTATTATTATATCTTCAGTAAAGAAGCTTCTTCTAAATTATACTCTCTTTAAGTCAATGATTTTCACACATAAACATAACCAGCACTTTTATGTAATCAGTAACACAGTAACATGATTCCTATTTATTTATTGGTTCTAATGCGAAGCATCAAGTTATTGCTGTTAAGCCGGCCCAGAACAATTATTTAGCAAACTATAGCCAGGTCTAAATACTGTGCTATTTGGGACACTCCAAAAGTCACTGCAATGGAAATATTGAAGATAAAAATAAACTCAAAAAAGCCATTATAGTCAACTGAAGCACCAGCTACTGAGTAATTGGTTATTTTCTGGCATGGTAATTAAATTTGCATATTTCTTATTTTCATGGTTGCTGCAGATCCCAAACTGTTTCTGTGTCAAGCTTGATGACTGGAAGGGTGCAAAGCTCTCTTAGCATCTTAACTTAGAATTTTTTTTCCATGTACTGAGATCTGGTTTTTACTTCATGCCACTTCCTTCTGTTCTTGGGTGGACTCCTTGATCACCTACAGTGTGTGGAGAGAATTGAAAATTATATCAATTGGTGTTTAAACTATAATTGCGACATTTCTCTTCATTTTGTCCAGACAGGTGCTTCATTTTGTAGTCTTTAAAAAAGATCAAAATAGTTCTCTACCGACTCTAGATTAAATAGAGTTTAAAATATAGAATCACAGAATCTATGATCTTGGAGATTTTCTAATCCAACCCCTTGTGCAAGACCTTATGCCATCCCAGACAAATGGTTATGCAGTCTCCATCCACAACTCTGGGACGCAAGTTGTTCCATTGAATAATTATTCTCAGGAAGTTTCTCCTTAGTTTCTCCTTTGTTCTAGGTTGGCTCTTACACTGACTAGCTTCCACCTAGTGCTTCTTGTCCTGCCCTCAGAATAAACTGACACCCTCTTCCCTATGACAGCTCTTCAAACATTTGGTTTTCACCCATATTTTTGATCATAACACTAGAAATTAAGCAATTAATCCAGCTCATTATTGCAACAATACCTTCATGTATTAGTTTAGCTAATGTTTTGTAATATACATGCCAGCAGGAGTATGTAGAACCTGTCACCTGTTAATAGCAAGTGATATCTACACATGTAAAAAAAAAATTTTAGCTAAGAAAGATTTTAATCAACTGTAATCTATCTTATAAACACAAGAGGGCATTTGAGATTCTACTCAACTCCAGTTGAGGAAAAATCTGCCTTAGCCTATTTACATTGTTGTTTTATTTGTTTGGCATTTAAAAAAAGTAAATGTGCATCTTGGTGGATAGTCTCATCACTATTTTTTTTTTTATTAAGAGTCTTCCTTTAGTCTTTCTTCAGCTCTGTTTTGTTTTTTGCTGTTGGGTAAATGACAAATTTGTAAAACACATTAAAGGGGAAATTTGGCCTTAGATGAAACATCCAGTAAATTTCAATAAGCTTCAGGTTCAAATGCCTTCCTCTATACCTTTGGGTATATTTTTAAACAAGCACAGCAAAATCCTTCTAACAATCTCACAATAGCATCATAGGCTTTTCCACACGCAAGTGCTGAACTTATGAAGATAGGCCATTGCCACCAGCCTTCCAGCAGACTGGAATCTGTGCTCTTCAGCTCCTGTTTTCCTGGAAACACTGCAAAGACCAATTTCAATATTTCCTTGATTTGTTGGGTGAACTGTTTCATGGCTTCTCAAGTTTCCTCAAGAAAGGTACAGTGATGTCTTGCTACTATTATCCCATCTTTGTTTTCTGCTATTCTGTGAGGCAGTTTTGCAATGGCTTCTGTTGTATTCTGAGCCTGCAAAAGCAGGTTTGGGATGTTGCATTGGTCCTGGGCATTCCAAAAGCACATGCTAATATTTTATGTATTAACTCTTCCTCTGTGGGAATTTCCTTGCTCTTCCATTTTTGCACTAAAGCAAAACTAGCTGCAGTCAGGATGTGTAGCAGCAAGTAGATTGTTCCCTTGTCATATTTTTCTGTCGTGATTCCCAACAAGAAGAGTTCAGGTTTTAATAAGTCCAGTGTTAATATATCCCTCAACCAGTTTCATGTCCTGTTCCAATACTCACGGATCTTTGGGCATTCCCACCACATATGGTAGTATGAACCTAATGCTGTTTTACATTTCCAGCATAGGGGTGGAATGTTTGAACCCATTTTGGCTAAACTGAGGTCTAGAATCTTGATCTCTCTGCATGAGGGACATCCTGGTATAGTCAGAATGAAAGCGCTTGCGCGCAGCCATCTTTGGTGGCCTGGACTCGATAAAGCCATTGAGGCCCAGGTGTACAGGTGCCAAGTGTGCCAACAGTCTCGGCCTGAAATGCCTCAGGCCCCAGTACATAGGTGGGAGGAAACTCAAACCCCATGGTCTAGGGTGTATATAGATTATTCTGGGCCCTTTCAGGGGCAATTCTTCCTGATTGTTGTTGATAGCCATTCCAAGTGGCTAGAGGTTGTTCCTGTTTCCTCCACTACTACTGCCAGGACCATCCAGGTGTTGAGAGGAATTTTTGTATCTTCCAGATGTGCTGGTTTCAGATAATGGCCCTCAATTTACGTCTTCTGAGTTCCAGGCTTTTCTTCAGGCCAACCTGATCCGGCATGCACCATCAGCTCCCTTCCATCCATCCTCCAATGGACTGGCAGAGAGAATGGTGCGCACCACCAAAGATGCCCTCAAGAAACTGACTTATGGTAATTGGCATCACAGGTTAGCAGATTTCCTTCTTGCACACCGCACCACACCATGCACAGCCATAGGGAAGAGCCCTGCTGAACTCCGCTGGGGTCGCCGCCTCATCACTAAACTGGACAGGCTGTACCCTGACCGGGTGGCTTCACAGGTGTCACAACCGCGGGCACCTAGGAGACTCCAGGTGGGCCATCTGGTTTGGGCAAGAAACTATGGGCCTGGACATCTCTGGGTTACAGCTGTGGTCTGCAAGGTCTCTGGGCCATTGTCATACGAAGTTGTCTAGGGTGACAGCCACGTTCTTCGCAGACACATAGACTAATTGCGTTGGAGACTGGACTCTCACCTTTCCGATCCTGGCTCTGCTCTGGGGGGGGGAAGGACCATAATATGCATTCTGGGTCACCGTTTCCCAGGCCTAACAGGCCCTCACTAGCTGCTACTGAGACTGTTTGGGATTCATTGCAAGGTTCCGCAAGTGCTCCAAACAGGAATTCACTGGATAGGGGGTCATCTCACACATCCATAATTACTCCAGACAGGGAGACTGAACGGAGGTATCCACACAAATCACTAGCAGTAAGAGAAAAGGAATTCCATCAAGGGCGCTTGCCTAATTCCTCAATTGCTCCCAAAAGGAAGTCACCAGCAAGGGGGGTTGTCATGGAGGCGACTCCTGACTCTGGCACCTTTGGCACGTGCTTGGGGGCCACAGAGTACTGGGGCACTTTCGCTACCTAGCCCTCTCCATCTGCTGGCCTTGGGCTCGAGGGACAGTGTTCCCAAGAGGGGTCCATTGGGGACTTCCACTCCTCCAAGGTATGCTGGCTTGGACTTAGAGGGTCCAGCCAGCCAGCTGCGGGGTGGGTCAACCCGGTATTCGGAGCAGCAAAGTCCTGGCCTGCCTAACCTGGTAGGTGAGCAAGTAGGCCAGGCACCCTCACCAGGGTCACCTGGGGATTTAGGGCAGCAACACCCTGGCCTACCTAGCTGGGTAGACAAGCAGGCAGGCCAAGCAATCTCTCCGGGCCTTAGAAGGTTGCAACGGGCCAAGTGCCCACCCAAACATCTGAAAGACTTTGTAAAGTTGCTGTCAAATCATGAGGGACCTGTTCATGAGGCCCCTGAATAATGGGAGTAACTTGTGGGTAGATTATTTTGTATTATTTTTTGATTTCGGATACATTTATTTGTATTAATAAATATTGAAGAGGGTTTGCCTGAGGGCAGACTCAAGTATTCCACACTCCTTGCATTTGAATAAGCAACTGTATGCCACTCTTCCCAATGCCTGACGTACATGTGTGTACGCGAAGTATGTTCCATCTAGGGGGGAGGGGTGTTGTGTCCGGAGCCTGCAAAAGCAGGCTTGGGATGTTGCATTGGTCCTGGGCATTCCAAAAGCTGCCTGGGACCAGGCAGAGCGGTGCCGGCCTTGTGCGCATGCACAAGGCGCGAAAACGCTCTGTTCCCATTGGTTGTTACTGTCCGGGTTTCTGGCCATATAAAAAGGCCTGCGAGCCTTTTGTTTTCGCTTGGTTGCTGTGGAAGGAGAATAAAGTGTTTGTTCAGCATCGCCATGCGTCTTCATCATTCGCACGCGAACAAAGGATTCAACAGCTTCCAATGCTCTGTTTTCGTTTATTGTGAATTTTAAGAAGTGTTTCACCACACAGTGGTAATACAGTGTTGCTTATGGTTGGCAGGCAAAGCAAATGCAGGAAAAGGACATGTCTAGTTTGGACTAAGAGTTATTGATAGAAGAGAATATTTGTGGCTCAGGGTGTGGGGTCCTTGATGTTCTCTGAACTTGGTAATTTTCTTGCAGATGTTGTATTATCAAACTAGGTAATATCATCAGATTACTGATGTTGCCAAGTTTGGTAATGAAATGTCTATAAGAAAATAACTAAGCTCACCAAGGATCCCTACCTAAGACATAAGGCAAAGAAACGTCCTGGAAAAAAATACTCAATTGTAGAAATTATAGAATTCTATTAGCACATAACAATGGCACTGTAACTGGTAATATATTGTGCAACCTTCACATGGGGTTTATCACTTCCAGAGTATTCCATTCTCACAAAGTTGGTTATAGTGAGAAACTAAATCAATGTCTTGCTTCTCAACCAAATCACAGTAAAAATGATCTTTTCACTAAGTATTACAGCTCTGTTGAGCTTGGAGGTGGCTTATTCTCCCCTGGCAGACTGTATTTTATTCTGCCTCTCCTCAACTTTCTTTCTCTGCCACCAGAAGTTCAGCTGCTGTAGCATTGTTCTCAGCTTTCTGATATGGCTGGAAGTGAATATTTCAAACTTCAGTTGAGGTACTGGGGGATGGAAAGTCCCCAGGCAGACTATGGAAAAATGCTTTTAAGCTATAAAATAGGAAATGCTTCTTTTGAGTGAGCCACCAGATTAAAATGAAGGTGATTTATCTTATAAAGGTGGCTGAAATACTGTAATATTAATAAAACCCACAGAGTGCTCCTAAAGATGATGATTATGATGATTCTAGTTGTATAGTTTCTGCATGTTGATCCAAAATGATCAGACTTAGGAGGTAAGGCAAAAAAGTTGATTAATACTCTACAATCTGCTGCTCATCATATTTTGTGATGTATAAATTAAAGAACAATTATCTTTTCTGAATAGCTGAACATATCTCTATAGTACAAAAGCTCAAGCCATGACCAGCATCTTCAAAAGGATATTTAATTTCCATAGTTCCTTTTCTATTTACTTTCAGAAATTGCTTATTAACTACTTTTCAGCTATTAGAAACATTTGAATTGACCTGGGCGAGTCTGCCTTCAATCCTTAATGAAAGAAGATTTTTGGCTTCAAGTTTAAGAACAATGTTATTAAAGAGATAAACAGCAAAAAGCTAATTAAAACTTTGATTTTAGAAAGTTATAAATGGTTAAATTTCCAGATAAATTTGGAATAAGTTTTTGGAATTAATTATAAAGAATTCTTCCTATGGGAAAAATTGATTTGTTGTAATTTTTTTCTATGACATAAAAGAGACAATCCATTTTTTAAAAAATGGACACTAGAGGGAACTAAAGGTTTTAATTAAAAATAAATCTGAATAGCATCTACAGTGATGTAAAATATTATAACATTGAAAATTGAAGGATATTTTTAACAATTTGAATCTGAAGTTAATATCAACAATGTCAGTAGTGATTTTTACTTCTGCCGATAGACTGTCTAAAAGATATTTTGGAACTAATGGCAGAACAGGAACAAGTTTTATCTAATAAGAAAGAGACTGGGTTGGCATTGAAGATGGATCTACAAATTACAGGCTATAAGAATGACATGGAAAAAGATTCATTGGGCAAACAAAAGAAATCGGTTGATGCTTTAAAAATCAGAAAGGAATTTCAAGTAATAAATCAAGAGAGTGATTGATAAACCTTTTATATGAGGTTGCTTAAAGCTTGGATGAGAACAGGTAAAAAAGAAATAAAAAGAAATTTAGATCTACATTACTTGAATGGACTAAAGATTAAGATAGTTAGAAGTAAAAGGAAGGAATATAAAGTCAGTTTATTTATCAAGGTTAAAATAGATATGTTGTTATTTCTGGCAACAAGAACTGAAATATTAATACTTTCTGGTTTCTTTATATATAGGAGTAGGGACATGAGATGAAGAAATCATGGGTTGTTAATTAAGAGGAGGTTAAACATTATGAAAATTGTTTATACTTGTGATGAAGATCCTTTGCATTTTTTCTTTCTACTCTAATTTCATTTAGTTTGTTTAATTTTTACTACTGCTATCATAATCTTTAATAAAATTATTTTAAAAAATAATTACAGAATTATTTCTCCATTCTCTTCTAATTTCATTCTTCAAACTCATCACTTATATTGCCATACATTAAAATAACATTTGTTTTTAATTGTGCACACTGCTATTTGTAATAGAGAAAACTTATCAATATTTTCATTTGGTAAATTGGAGAACCAGCAAAAAAACAACTGTATGAAAACCAGAGTACTTTTAAATATTTTAAAAACAAGGAATCCCAGTACAGGAGGTCGTGGAAACTGGCTAAAAATATTATTATCTTTTAAAACTAGACAGTAAGACTATGATTGCAGTAATGCACAATGATATTTTTTGTTATCATTTCAAGAAGGTTGGGGGAATTAGTTGCTATTGGTGACCTGAGAAAGAAATAAGATTTTTGAGCACTCTATTGATGATGTTCTGTTTATGATATAATTTCTATGCCTTTCCCCCCTCTTTTCTTAATGCAATACTATGCTTATCAGTTTTGAGCTATATTGATTCTTTAATGCTGGCTATTTAAAGATTTGGTTTAACAAGTGAGGATGATAAACATTAATTTGTCTTACTGGAACTTTATAAAGAAGCTTGAAAGCTAAAAAAGACAGAGTCATTTACCTATTGATGGCAGAAAAAAGATGAAAGAAAGAAACATCACAGAGTAATAATCTATAAATTAAGAATTTCTTAGCTGAAAGGGAATGAAAAATAATTAGGGATGGTCTGAGCATCATGGATGCTGCAGATGCTTGAAAACAACAGGTCAAACTAGATTTTTCATAAACATTTCATCAGATGAACTCTATGATAAACAAAAAATGGAAGGCTTTGAATACATAGGTAGCTATTGCCTACCTCTCCGTCTCTAGCTTCCACTGTTCTGATCACAATGCTCCTCTTCAGACGAGCCTCAGAAACTGACTTTGTGTCGAGGCTGGTTTCTGGTAAAGAGGGAAAGAACAATTGGGTCACTGCTACTGAGCATAACTTTGACTTGGGAGCCTTTGGTGATCTGTAGTGAGGTTTGAGACATAAAACCATAAGAGAAAATGCTGACTTTCTTAGGAGGATGGGATGGAAAAAAACCATAAAAAAAAAAACTTATCTTTCGCTCTCTAATACTGCTTCATTGAATACCTAGCATGAAAACATGGAAGAAATTTTGTTAGAGAGTGCTGCAAATAGGCTAAACAGAACTAATGTTGTTGGAAATAACTAATCCCTAATGACATCTTTAATGTTAGGAGACATTAAAAATCATTTAAGGGTGTAAGATAATCTTCTGATTTTTTTAGATTGGAATATTTTAAACACTCTTTCATAAATTAGACAACAAAAATGTAGTAATTTAAAAAGATATATAAAAACCTACACAAGAACAGGTAGATCTAACATGGTAATGCTTCTGTGCTTCATGGAGTTGATTATCAAGGATAAGAATTTTTAAATGGTTGGTTTGGAAGTCAGAAGCAGAGATTTATTGAGAGTTGCCTATGTCAAGATAAATAAATTTAAATAAACAAATAAATAAATGCAGTCTACTTTGTTCTAAGCTGGCTGAATGTTAGGATCTATAGTTTTTCTGTGCTGGATTGCAACAAAAGGCCTTGAGATGATCCAATATTCCATTATTGCTGAACTTGATCACATCCATGAAGAGAAGATAATAAAGTTGCCATAGAAGAGTATATAACTTCCCTACAGATGCAAGAGCAAAGGAAAGGATACTCTGGATTCAGTTAATGATCTGAATAAAGAAGAATTTTGTTAAAAAAAATTCCAATAAAAATCTCAATGTTTGTGAAAGCTCTTCAGAAATTTTGGACTTAAAACAGTAAATGAATATATAAAAAATAAACAAGTTAATATAAAGTTTTTAATTTAATTTTTATTTTTTTTTTTATTATTTTTTAAGCCCATATTCTGCTCTGGGAAGCTCAGGGGGGGGGAAGGGAGGGTTTTTGGGAGGGGTGTGGGGTGGGGTTTTTTTTTTTATATGTATTGTTTAATTTTTTTTTCTTTTGTATATGTTGTTTTTTGTTCTGTATTGTTCTTGTTTTTTTTGTAAAATTTATAAAACTTTTAATAATAATAAAAAAAAAATAAACAAGTTTATAAACCTTTTTATTTTGATACTTACTGTATTCTTTTTAATGTTTTGAGAACCTTACTGTTTTAAGTTACTTTATAATTTAAGAACTTTGGTTACTGAAACAATTGGAAACAATAATAAGCATAATAATTATATTTCCACAAAAAGGCACTTTGTCATAGTTCCTTGTTCCAAAGACAATCCGCTATTTAAAATCTTCTTTCTATAGCCTACTGTTGAGAAAATAAGAAAGCAAAGCATTTAGTTCTTCAGAAAAAAAATAGTACTGATTCATGCAATATTTGACCAGGAAGGAGAATGAATATCTCACCTCTGATCTGAAGATTGGAAAAAGTCTGTACTGGGATAGTAATCCTGCAGAAATAAACAAGAAACAGTGTGGGCTTAGGAATTATATACTATTTTTTTCATTTTCCCCTTCTTCCCAGTCTCTGTCCAGTTCATCAGTTAATTTCAGATTGGGTTTTAGACAAGATATAAGACCAAAGAAACACTACTTGAAAAAAAAAAACAATCTGACAAAGTTGTTGCTCAAACTGAAATGAAATAGTAAAACAACGATTTTTTTCAGTTTCCAGGATAACAGTCAGGAGCTTTCCACAGACATTTCATTTGAAGGAAATGAATTATTTTAGCATGTGAATTTGGAATTTTGAACTTACATGGTAACTCAGTGGGACAAGGGAATGTCTTGTTTGAAACCTGATTGTATTGGATCACTTTTTAAAATATTAAACTGTGAGTCTGATAACAACAAGGCAACCCAGAGGTATATGTTTTATGTCTCTCATGATGTTCCATAATCTTCTTCCCAGCTTTGGAAGGAGACCTGATCTCCATAAGTACAATGAGCCAGAAGAACTCTAAAGTGAAAGAATATAATTTCAAATTGTAGATGCTAATTAGTATCTATTTATCTGACTATCTATTTATCCATTCATTGATTTACCTACCCACCTGCAAGCAGAAAACAGATTGAAATTGTTGATAGATTCAACATTTAATTGGCAGTTAATTAGTAGGTTGGCTATCAGCTGGTAGTGCAATTCTTCTCCAAGCTACCTTCTAAGGATGTAAGGCTAGGCAACTTGTACTGAGCAAGGTCCTTACAGTCCTATGATCCACTAGAACAGGGGTCCCCAATGCCTGGTCCATGGACTGACACCAGTCTGCAGCATGCCAGAAAACAGGCTGCGCAAACAAGGAACCCCATCTGTGGGATGCAGGCAGCACACAAAACCATGCCCTCTTGGGTCCATGGAAAAACCTCTCTCCATGGAACCCGTCTCTGGTAGCCAAGAGGGCTGCTGCATTAGAAGTTAACTTCCTGACCCTATCTGGTCCTCTATCTGCAGGTTCTGTCATGATTACAGTAACCAAATTGTCTTGGAAAAAATAAAAGACAAACCTGAAAGAGGGGCAGATGGAAAGTGGTTCATAAGAATTATATCTTTCTTTTACAAAGGGAAATTCAAGAGCAAAATCAAGAAAATAATTAAGTTACATCTATCCAAAGTACAGCTTTCTGAAATAAAAGGTTGTCCCTAATAATAAAGATGTATGCTCACTGTAATTATGGGGGCTGCTCCTCCTTGATGGCTTTTCACCTGCTTTTCTAGGAAAGTACCACAGGATGGAGAACAGTTGGCCATCAGACCTGTTTGGTGGGTCACCACCATTGGGCCTCTTTAACGGGTCTTAATTGGTGTCATACTTAACTTCCACAGAGCTTCTTCATAAGAATAGTCCTAGGCCTGTTCGCTTTTCCCTTCCGGCTGCACTTCCATCTGGCTTTGACATTGCCTTTCTTTCATAGTATCAGTTGTTGCAATTTCAGGCAAGCTCAGCCAGATGACAGTTTTCCTCTGATTTTTCAGATTTTCAGCCTATCCATTCTAAGGAAAAATGTCTGGCTCTTCATAGGATTTTCAGTCCCTTCGTCCAGCTTCAAGAGCATCGAAAATATTTCCTTGATCTCTTGACTGGGTTTTAAATGATTTCTTTCAGCTTGCCGATACCATAATCTACTAGGATTGTTTAAAAAAAATGGAGGAAAGAGACCTGCAGAGCACTTCTTTTTTTGCTATGCTTCCCTAGAAACTCAGTCAGCTCCTTCTTGTGCCAGTTTCCTGCTTAAGGGAATTGCAGGAACTTAACATAAGGAGAAATTTTAAAATATGATTCCAGTGTGATATGATACAATTTATTCTATAACTTCAGGACATTAATGTCTCACACTGCTGTATATCTAGAGCAAAGCTAATTTACAAATGAAGTCTGCAGTTTTCTGAGTGGGCAAGGCTGACCTCTGACAGGATTCTCAGCAATTTCACTGGTAAAGTTGTTGGGCAACAATATCAGTACAAGAAATGGATCTGCATTTTACCTGCCCTCTTCCCCCTCCAAGAGTTTGCGGTAAGTAGCAATCTCAATATCTAATGCCAGCTTGACATTGAGGAGTTCTTGGTATTCCTGGAGGTGACGAGCCATTTCCTCTTTTAAGTTCCGACTGTCGTCTTCCATTCGAATCACTATGTCATGATAGTTGGTAGTCTCAACAGCATAGCGGTCTTCCATCTCTCTCAGTTGTCTCTCCAAAGATTCATTCTGAAACGAAGAAAATAAAAAATAAAAGTGAAAATGAAAACAAAAACAAAAAAATTCCTGGCAAGGCAACAAGGCAATGATCAACCACTACAGAGAAGAGCAACAAAGATGATTAGGGGACTACAGGCTAAAATATATAAGGAACGGTTGCTGGAATTGGGTATGTCTAGTTTAATGAAGAGAAGGATGAAGGGGGACATGAGAGCAGTGTTCCAATATCTCAGGGGCTGCCACAAAGAAGAGGGAGTCAAGCTATTCTCCAAGGCACATGAAGGCAGGACGAGAAGCAACAGATGGAAACTGATCAAGGAGAGAAGCAACCTAGAACTAAGGAGAAACTTCCTGACAGTTAGAACAACTAACCAGTGGAACAACCTGCCTCCAGAAGCGGTGAATGCTCCAACACTGGAAGTTTTTAAGAAGAGACTGGACAGCCATTTGTCTGAAATGGTATAGGGTTTCCTGCCTGAGCAGGGGGTTGGACTAGATGACCTCCAAGGTCCCTTCCAACTATTATTATTATTATTATTATTATTATTATTATTATTATTATTATTATTACTATTATTATTATCTCCTGACCGCAGCTCACAAGAAATTCTATGTGACATCAATGTTGACTAGCCTATAGTCCCTAAAAGTAACCAACTCCCAGAATTACCCAGCCAACATGACCACTGTTGAGAATTCTGGGAATTGAAGTTCACACATCTTAAAGTTGCAAAGGTGGAGAAACACTGGTCTAAAAAGAATAGAGAGAGAAAAACAAAAGCAGTTTCAGATATTTAGAATTTTGTCTAATGAAGAGACATAATTTTTCAGTATATTTGTACTATATTAAATATAAAAATATTAAATATTAAAATACAAAAAATATAGAAAAGGGCAATTCTTGGAATACAAAGAAAGTAAAAACTACATGATGTTTATTAAGAAAGAAGGAATCAATAGCAGTTGGTTGCTTTCAGCACAATTGATGGAAGGGCTTTTGAGGTTCACCATATCACCCACTAATGCAATCATGTAGAATTGCCGCTGATGGAGGAGTTTGAGGGGTGGGGGGGAACAAATATATGATTTCAACTGCGTTAATGTAGAAATGCTCTGTTTTATCTCATAATCTGAAGTAACTGAGGAGAGAGTTAGTAATTGCCCTCTGCTGTTACAGAAACTATGAGTTGGGACCAGGCAACCTCCTGTTAGCCAGATGTTTTCAATATGTTGGCTTTTTCCAACATCAACTCCACATACCGATCCTTTAAGAGATTCCAAATCACAAGTGAGGACTTGCAGTTGTCGGCGGTACTCGTTAGCTTCCTGCTTGGCTAGACGCAGTGCCTCAATGTTCCGTGCTGCGGCATCACTCAAATCTGCAAACTATCAGATACAAGTCAGTTGTTTTCAAAAGTTGCAACCAGAAAGTTAAATAATGTTATCTGACCTTTCTAATCCTACATCTCCTCAATTCCTGAAAATGACCATTTAACTATGTTTGGATCTCTGCCATTAAGAGAGTCTTTATCAATGGAAACCAAATCTGAATTCAAATGGACAGAGGAGAGGAAAATCAGAAGTTTGCAATTTCCATATAGCAGGTAATGCAATACAGTTAACAATCTCCTGCTCTTTGTTGCTGGGTTTCAAATTATACTGGGTTTTTTTTTAAAAAAACCAACTTTTAAAATAATAATAATGAAGGCAATGACAACAACAGAATCAGTTGGAGGAGAACAAAAGAATCTTTGATTTTAGCCACATATCCCTGTCCTTATTCCTACAATCAAAATAAATGTGATTCATCTTCCCCTCAAAGGAGTTTCACTCATGTAGCAAAGAAGAAGAATGAAATATAACCTGCCTGGAGTCTGCTAAATAGGCAGCACACTTTTTTTGGAAATAACATTGATAGCCTGAAATTCTGACACCAAAGAGAAACTTGTTGCTGCCCACCCTATTCCAATCAATGTCCTACATCTTGATTAGCCCTGTCACCTTTTTTAGTATCAGAAATGCTGCCCAGAAGATATTGGAACATAAGCCCTTAGTTATGCTACATTCCCTAGTGGATAGTCCTTACTCCATTTATATTGTGGCTATACCTTTGACTTGTACCATTCTTCAGTCTCTTGCATATTGTTTGTGGCCAGGGACTCATACTGGATGCGGATCTCACGCAGGGCAGATGTCAAATCAGGCTTGGTCATGTCCATCTCAATGTGAACCTGCTGCTGCTGCAGATATTCCCGCAGCTCCCGCAGTTCCTGAAAAAGCAACGGAAAGGTTTTTAGACCAATAAAATCAGACTTCGGATAGGACTGGGTTTCCCTGAAATTGAATGAAGAAACCTTAGAGAATGTAGACATACAAATTCACACAAGCAGTATGGAAGGGATAACATGGTTCTTGCATGTGTCTTTATCTGGTACATAGGGATGATTGCATCATTAAATGCTTTCATGTGTAACAAACCTTCTATACATTCAGAAAACAAACCTTTCCAGCAATGGCACCTGATTTTTCTGGCACCCTTTCTCTCCCCTGCCCCAAATAGCAAGTGCTTCAGTTCAGAACAGTTTTACTTTACCATTTTGCAATTGCTTGCATGAAAGTGGTCTCTCAAAGAGAATGGTGAACCCTGACTGTTCTTTCCAAAACATTGAAAATTCAGGTAGATTTATGACCTTTGAGGTTCATTCTTGACTAGTATGATTCCCTATTGCCAGCTTTTAACACAAGGCTGTCTTTTTCCTTTCTAACTAACCACCCAGTCAATTTTATTTCAGAAAACAACAACAACAACAACAACAACAAAAGATGTCCTCTTAAATGACTGAATTCAAGAGTTCACAGCCTCTGACGTTTTCAAAGAGCAATCTTTTAAAGGTTTCCACTATGAAATCTTGAGCAGAATTTACAGGGGAATTGTTCCAAGTATGCCTGCAATGTCAGCATTAGTTTTCCCCAATTCATCTATTGTTCCATTATATACATGTTTGCTCATTTTTTATATTTATATTCCACAGTTCTCTAGATGTTCAAAGTATTATATATGGTGCATGTGATGGTCTTCCTGTGTGGATCTTCCCAACAGTTCTATTGAAGTAGACTGATAATGTCTAAAGTTTCTTGGTCACTTATCTCACTACATAACCTAAGTATGAGATACATACTTCCTAAATACAGGGGAACAATCAATTGCTAGAAAATTCATATGCCCGTGTTACAAATCATACTGTGTTTGTGTGTGTATATTTGTTGCTGATTTACTCCTATTTTTTGTCAGCAAAGTAGATCAGAATTCTCCTTCCTGTGAAGAAAAGGATAACACTTTACCCGACTCTAGTCCAGTGGTTCTCAACCTGTGGGTCGGGACCCCATTGGGGGTCAAACGACCATTTCACGGGGGTCGCCAAACAATGCAGTCTGCCATTTTTTCCCCATTTTCCTTAGCTGTGCTACTCCCTTTTATTCTATTGGCTTTTGAAAGCAATAGAATAGACTCTCTTGAATAGAGTCTAATTCTATTGGCTTTCAAAAGCCAATAGGAATTGTCCAGGCTGTCTCTGCCCTGCTGAGCCCGCCAAAAGTCCCATTCTGCAAACGGTGTTACACCGGTTAAGTAGTCCTCGACTTACGACCGGTTGAGTAGTCCTCGACTTACGACCGGTTGGGGGTCGCAGCATTAAAAAGATTGAGAACCACTGCTCTAGTCTTCTTGGGAGTACCAAACTACAGCATTTCTTAGCTCTTTGCTTCCACTTTGCAAGTTAGTCTTTAATCAGAGCACTATAAGATTTCATAATAATTTGTATCAGCAAAACGAATCCTAATCTATCTGGTAAAGACTTACTATCTCTATGGGTATTATGTTAATGGTATTGTAGAATGCATATTGATTTTATAGTGTTTTTGAAAATTCTGCTTTTCTTTAACTGATAATTTTAATTGTGGTTGAGCCTTGCCCTGGAGTATTGGTGGTATTATATGGTAATTGTTATTGTTAGTTTTAACCCTTTCTAAATAATTCATAATCCCTATAAAAATGGTTTGGCCTGATTTTGCCTGCTTGTATAAGCTCCTCAGGTAGCTTTTTCCTAGTGATATGGTAGAGCACCTAATGGAAACATCATTGGCTTGAAACAACCATCATAAAACAAGATAGAAGAAAAAAATAGATTTTTGGAGGGAAATAACTTTAGGAGGAAGGATTGACATACTTGTATATTCCATAAGTGAGTCTATACTTCTAGCTTTGGACTAAGAAATAGAGGTGAGTCTCCATCATATTGGAGAGTGTCACAGAGTGATTCCTGTTCTAAGAGACCAAATGATGTTTTTTCACCTCAGAAACTTCATAAATACTTGTGGCTTAAAGGCTACCAATTAGCTACAGCTCATAAGCAAGCAGAGAAACATGAATTGGCAGTAGCTTGGAAGGCTACATTTGGCCAAGGGCTAAACAAAGTTGTTTTTTTTTTTTTAAGAGTGAATAATGTTTCTCTTGAGTTGATTTTAACTCCTAATGACTATATGGAGACACCCATGCAGTTAATCCTGGCAATAGTATATAAGGCAGGGGTCTTCAAACCTGCCCCTTTTATGACTTGTGGACTTCAACTCCCAGAATTCCTCAGCCAGGCACACTGAAGACCCCTGATATAAGGGCTTGGGGTGTTTTTCAATTTCACAATATAATCTCAGGCTGGGCCTTACATCTAAAAACTAATAAATAAATAAATTAAGTACAGTCTGTGAGTAAAAGAAATATGCCCATTTCTGATTATGGGTCTGCTGATTGGATTAAATCAGGGATGTATAATTTGAGAATCTGGGGTTGCATACAACCTTCCAAAGTCTTGGTTTTTAATTTATTCCCATATTATAATTTAAATGAAGTTGAATATTATAAAATATATGAATGGAGGATAATATTTTTCTTGGCTCCTTGTAATATTCTTTGGTGCCTGCCCATCACACTCTGCACAACACTATGTGGAGCTAATTGCATTAAAAATTATGTACCTCACAACTAAATAATCTCCTTAAGACACCTCTAGTCCAGAGATGTTGAATACAAAGAGAGCAAGATATTTCGCACAAAATTCCTTCTAAGATTTTTGTAAATTAACTGAAGATGATGAAATGCTCTTGAAACAGAAGAATAAGAAGATTGTTCATTTGGATTGTTGATTTTTCCTCCCAAATGCACAAATTCAGATATCTTTGTAAAAATAACACAATATCGTCCATTTTTAGTTTTGAGGAAGATTGAGATTAGTAATCAGGGAGCCAAGCTGGAACTATAAAGATGATCTATTGAAAGGTGCACCATGAATGTTACTGATTTCTGTAATGTAACGTTCCAGTGACCGCATTCTTAAAAGAAGTTAAACCTATTGCATTCTGGAATTCTTTTGGGCAGATAATTGGAGTGGGATATTGAGCATAATAGTGCAACAAAATAAAAAAAATAAGAACTATTTGCACAAAGTAGAATAATCAGTTAATGAATCTGCTAACAAGCAGGCTAGCTTTCCAAACAACGTAACTAAGCACCACTATATTTTGTATGGTAGTATTTCCCAATCTCTTCCCTTGCAGATGTGTAGGATTACAGGTTCCACAGTTTCCACTCAACAACACATCTTCAGGATATCAGGTGTCCAGTTTTTCTGTAATTGAAAACTGGTCTGGTTCACACATTTGTGGATTAATGCCTAATAATCAGGGTTCAAACATGCTAAGACAAAACTAAGCAATTATGACATTGTACATTTTGTAAACCCAGCCTGATTGTAGATATTTTAAAAAAACGAACATTGTCTAGTAAGGCAAATAACCTGAGTCTTCAATTTTCCTTCCATACTCAGTAAAAAACAACAGAATGGCAATGGTGAATTATTGTACCTCATCATGGATTTTCTTTAGGAATGTAATCTCCTCCTGCAATGATTCAATTTTACGTTCCAGATCAATCCGGACTAAAGCAGCATCATCGACATCCTATGGGAACAGAGAAACTGGGTTATGAGAGGGAAAATCATCCCCATTCATTTTTTTTTAGTACCACAATGACTCATTTAGTGATCCTTTGCAGTTATGACAGTTACTTCCCGTTACAAAAATTACTTGCAGTTATATGATGAAACAATAACTTTGTGACCAGTCCTTTCATTAGAGATTGTTGCAGATCTGTATAGCAAGGAAAAACTCAAATAAGATTGTAAGTATAGTTGTGCGTTTACTAGTGAGCACTTTGTTTAATAACTGAGTTGGTCCCAATAATTACTGCTAAATGAGGATTAACTGTACAGATAGCCCTTAACTTATGAGCACAATTGAGACCAAGATTTCTGTTGCTAAGCATGGTATTAAGTTGCTAAGCAAGGCATTATGTGAGTCAAGCCCAATTTTACTTTTGTCCATGGTTGTTAAATGAATCACTACAGTTGTTTAATGAATCATATGGTCATTAGGCGACTCCAGCTTCCTCCATTGACTGCTTTTTGGAAGCTGGCTGGGAAGGATTGAAATGACAATCCGATGATCCCAGAGCACTGATACCATCATAAATAGATGCAAGTTGTCAAGTGGTTGGATTTTCATCATATGACTATGGGGATGTTACAACGGTCATTAATTAGGGAGGGAAACCCAAGCCTCAGCACTGGGCCTGTGCTAGACCCTGTTTTAATTCATTCACTGATGATGAGATCTTTTGAGCAGATCAAGAGGCTGACCCAATGCTAAAAAATTGTGTCCATTGTTCAACAGCACTTCATTATAGCAACCATATAAATCAAAACTATTTAAACAGTGTAGCACTATTTAAAATAGCAGGATACAAACAGTATAGGAATAGTTAAAACAACAAGCTTTGAGAAACAATGTGCAATTATACCCACCCCATATGTATTTCCTGAATAATTTTATTAATAAGACTTTATATCTTTTTTGAATCCTTTTATTGATAAAACAATATCTTATTAAACTACAGGAACATAGACAGCAAAAAAGGTAGTTGACTGATCCCCTATTGAGGAATGACACTTTTCATACTCAGTTCAGAGAAGATACATTTATGATGTGAATGTGAAATATGCCATTATTTCTCTTGGGAAATCTAATATGTGCAACAAAGCTCTCTCCAGAAAGGCACTTTGTTCCATCTGATCTCCTGTGGGGGAGAGGGGGAGGGGGATAAGACTGCTACTGCGCATGGTCCATTCATAAAAATTCTGTTTTATGTATAAGATATTTTTTTTATTGCAAATCTAACCTAGTAATAAAATATATTCTTCGATTCTTACACCATCCACTGATTCTCAGTGGGAACTAGCACTGGTTAATTAAGGATAATTAGGAAACAAAGGAGCAAGTGAATAAAAAGAAATTCATTAACTACTTAAAAAGAAAGAATAAAATAGTATGTTATAGATTTGTTTTCAAGCAAAACTCTGCACAAAATTGGTTTGAAAAAAAAAGGAAGATAATATAGGAACGCAATACTACCATTTAGATCAGAGGCTGCATCTGCTATGGCCTTATTTGAGAATGCCTTGAATATACATAACTGTTAACGTTTCCAAATTATAATCTTAAATGTAACAGAAAAAAAGACTAGGATAAGTTATGACATTGTTATCAGTTTTACTACGTAGTTATCATATATGATCATTTGATTTCTTAGACTTGACATCTGGCCTGGCTGTAAATTTTGTTATTTCAGATACCCATCCCCAAATTTCGAATCTACTTTTAGGTAATGACACAGGTAGGTTGGTTTACAGAATTGCATGCAACCTCTTACAGCATTGCACAAAATATCTGCCTATTGCAGAACACTAAAATCTACCTGTTCTACCTGTCTTTCCAACTCCATGGATTTTTGCCCATTGTTTCCCAAACCTTGAAAGCTGGAGACATACCGTACTTTCCGGCGTATAAGACGACTTTCGCAAGCTTTAAAATTGGCGCTGAAGATGGGGGTCGTCTTATATGCTGGGTCGCCTTATACGCCGGAATATACGGTAATACTTTTGTTTAGCCTGAGAACTGCTGGATATCTTGGAAATTATGGTAGTCTTTCATTGGTGTAACCTAAAGTTATATTTGTCTTTTTTGCAGTCATATCTCTCTACTGCTTCACATTCAGTTTACAGTTGCATCCTATTCTAAGTTGTTTTTCACATGTACCCATATTAATGCACACATATTTATGCATTTGATTTTATTTCTTAAGTGAAAATTTTGCATTTGTTTCATTCCTTTCAGCCCATTTTTCTAACTTAATACAATGGTTCTGAATTTTATTTCTATCTTCTAGGGATTGCTATCTCACATAATTGTGGGTCCCCTGCAAATCTGATAAATAGTTTTTCCACCTTCATCTTTAAAGAAGCTGTTGAATAGTACAAAACCCCCAAATGAGGGCAGCTAGGTATATAGTAGTAGTTAAGTCACCAGACTAGAAACTGAGAGACTAAGTTCTAGTGTCACCTAAGGCATGAAACCAACTTGCCTTCTTGGCAAGACACTTTCTCCTAACCTAGGAAAGGAAGCTATGGCAAACCACTTCCAAAATCTTGCCAAGAAATCTGCAGAACTTGTCCTGACAGTCACTAGGAGTCAATACTGATTTGAAGGGATCAAAGTGAGAAACAGAGAGAACCCAATAAGCTAGATTGTTCTTTGCTCTTGTCAAATCCATGCTGATTTCTGGTAATTACATTATTTTCAAGATTCTTTCAAAATGATCTGTTTGTAATCTGGTCAATAATTTTCTCAGGTACAGTATCAGTGCCAGATTGGTGGGTCCGTAGTTTGTTGCAGCATTCCTTTTCCATTTTGAAAACAGTGACATCATTTGCTGTCTCCAGATACTTGACATTTTGCTGATTCTTAACAATTTCTCAAAGATTAAAGAAGTATTCAGCAAGCATCAATAAACTGTTTCTTCAGTAGCTAGGTATAGTCCTTCTAGCTCTGAAGATTTAAACTCATTCAAAGTAAATAAGTATTCCTTGATTATCTTTTTATCAATTTCAGGTGTTGGTCCTGTCCCTTCAACTTGCTCTTCTCAACTTCCTGATGGAATACACACTTATTTTTGTTGGAGAAGATTGAAACTAAATAGGAATTGAATAGCTCTGTCTTTCATTTTTTGTTAGCATTTGGTCTTCTTCATTGAGCAATTGATAATACGAAAGCTTTCCTTTTCCTTTTCACTTTGAACATGCTTAAAAAAGTCCTTTTTGTTATTTTTAGCATCCTTCACTAACCAACCATTTTTGCTTTCATAATATTTCTACTATTCTTTTATGATCTGACTCTTTTTCTGTTATTTGTGTGCATCTTTTTTTTTTTTTTTTTTTACAGATTTTCAGTAAGGTTTTTATTTGGTTACATGAGCCTCTTCTGTTGTCTTCATTTTTCCCTCTTAACTGGAATTGTTTGAAAATGTGCTTTTACTATCTCCTTCTTTAGGAATTAGGCAACTGAAATACTTCTCTATGGAGAAGGAGAAAAGATTGGCCCCCACCTTACTATTCTTTTCAAACATGGTTTTGCCAGTGGGCTTGGGGACCCCAGAGTGATATAGACTCATCAAATTGTTTTTTGATTGTTGTTACAGAGGGTGGGGTGAGTGCTTATTTGGTTTAAATTTGGGGGTTTATTTTTGTAAGCCATCTGGGGTTACCATGGGTGACCTGCATGCTATATAAATTTTATAAATGAATAAATAATAAATAAATATCTCATTCTCTTTTTCTCATTAGCTTCTGCTATGGGATTCTACTTATAATTGTTCTAAATTTATTCTATTCTGATTTTTGAACCCCAAAATATATCTTTATCAATCTATTATCGCCACAGAACTCCATTATGACTATATTCATACCTATTTCCCCCAAATTTCCTACTACTTCTACCTCTTTAACTTCAGAGCTGTCACCTAGAGCTAGGCACCATTCGTGGTAGGGCATCCCATCTCTGTTCTTCTAGAAACCAGATCTGATCTAATCTGCTTATTTATTTATTTTGTATGGTATAGCAAAATGCAGAGTGGTGCATTTTTATCTAATCAGTTAATTTATATTGGTTAAGTATATATGGACATATATAGCATATGCGAGTGTAATGTCTATAGTTCAGGAAGTGAATGATAAAAGGTGTAAATATTCATTTGTTTCTACTTCGTCTGAGAACAAATAATATTCAGGAGGTTAAAAAGATCCTCTTTATGACTCCCTATATAACATGAGTAACCATATTAATCATATGTCATTTTAACTATGTAAACATAATTCTTAAAATATACATGTGATTTGAATTAATTTCTAATTTTTCTTTTGGATCCATCCATTAAATTTTGGAGCACACTTCTTAGTATGCAGTTCAAGTATTGCTCCTTGTTCAGAAAAAGTGACATACTCCTGATTAAAACAGAGTGAATAAAGTATATGAAGTCCAGAATAAACAGGTAGTGTAGAAAAATAACAGCTATCTGAACAGGCCAGAGGACAATGAATGCTAGATACTGAATCCCTGAATATTTGTTTCTTTTTTGTTTAAAGTTTTACAAAAATTCCTTTAAACTTTTGTTTAAAGTTTTCTGGAAAAAAATGAGCACATTCAATGGGCTGTTTCAACTAACATGCAGGTAGCTAATTTCAGCATTTGAATAATTCCCTGTGCAAAAAGTATTCACAGTGTGTCATGATGATTACATAATGATGACTACAAACATTTGATTGAAGCCTCACTCATTTTACGTGTGTTGCAATGCACATAAAAAAGAGTCGGACTTTGATCACTTGGTTGTGATCACCATCTTGACTTTTTTGACTCCCTACCAGCAAATACCCCTGAAGTGAAACACAACAAAAAAATCACCATCTCAAATCAGGCAATAGTTGTGAGGACTTCTTATATTTTATTTCCATTGTTCCAAGACAGGATTTGTCATTTTTCCACCTTACCTGTCGGTAGGAAGACAAATTGCTTTCAGCTTCAAGGCGCAGATTAATCTCATCCTGCAATCTTAAATGAGAGTGAGAGAGAGAAGGGTGGAAAAGTAAGGTAGGTTTATTGAATGATCAGTACTCTTCCACCAGAGGCTATACTCAAGGACAAACATCAAGTTCAACCCCTCTATGGAACACTCAAACCTTTGCAAATCCCCTGCAGTTCAACAACACTCTGCCTCCAAACTTCTGCATGCAGTAAAGGGTTTCAAATAATAATAAATATAATAACCTTACTTTTTGTTAAGAATACACTGAAGGCCCAGCAGGAGTTTCAAGAAGAGAAATCAACTTTTCCACTTCAATCAGCTATTGTGAGGAAGAAAACTTGGAGAAGGCTCCAGGTTTGTGTGCCTTTTGAGTGTGTTTGTTTGTGTGTGTGTGTTGTCTGGAAATCTGACAAATATAGTGAGATGTGAATAATAGTTTTCACCTTTCATTCTTTTAATGCCAGGACTTTTAATTGATTTTAACACTTGGCTTGAGGGAAGGCACTTTGGGAATATGCAATTCCCAAAGGAGAAAATAATGTGAAATGTTTTTATTTTTACATTTTTTCATAATTAGCTAGTCTCTTATCTTTTCCCTATTCTATAATTTAATTGGTCAGCAGGACAACTCACATGTACAGTTCTTCAGAGCAGGTCTGAATAGCCACAATATTGGGGAGCAAGGTGCTATAGGACCTACAGAGAGCCAGTTTGGTATGGTGGTTTAAACATTAGGCTAGAAACCAGGAGATTGTGAGTTCAAGTCCTGCCTTAACCAGGAAAACCTTGGGGCAGTCACTCTCTCTCAGCCCAACTTCCCGCACAGGGTTGTTGTGGGGGAAAATAGGAGGAGGGAGATGTGTTGTACATCTTTGATGCCTTGAGTTATTTGTAAAAATAATAAAGGTGGGATACAAATACATAAAAATATTTGTTATGTGTCACAGCAACCTATAGAATGGAAAAGACAAAGAAAAGGGGAGGTAGGGGAAGAAAGAAAAGAATGGCCTTACCTATCATAATAGGGAATGTGAATGTAAAAAAAAGATCCCCCATATTTGAGCAACAGTTCTGAGATTGCTCTTGGGCTGCTATAGCTGTCTTCCTGCTGGTCTGCATTCAGGTGGGATTTTTTGTGATGTTGATATGTAGGCAGGATGGTTAATTAGAAGCCCTCCTCTATCCAAACTTTTGAATAGTTTACTGCCATTTGGAGACACAATATATACACACATTGTACTGTAAACCATAAGGTAACAAAGTTTTCCCCCAAATTTCTATGAATATATATATTTTTTGCTCCCTTTCATACTGGTCACAGTCTCATCCATTTCATATCATTGTCTTCCTCATTGAAGGCTTCTCTCTTCCAAGAATGGTCAGTCCAGCCCAGCATCTAAAGTCTGTCTGTCATATTTTACAATCAAGGCTTTCCTTTGAAAAAGGCAGGCCAAAGTCATGTTGCTACCTGGCCCAAAGGACAAGGTTTAACTTTAGACCCTCCCTTGCTCCCCATGCAAGGAACAGAAGTTAAATCTTCACTCAGTCCTGGTAGCCTGGGCAAGTCTTCCTTTGTACTTGATTAAAGATTACACAATAAAGTAGCTGAGGTTATTCATGAATGATAAAAATCTTTTGTCATCTCATCAACTGCCAATTGAGGCAAGTAGTTCCTTCTGTCTAGTAATGGGGCCAGCACTCTCTCGTTTTTGAGAATTATAGGGTTTGCTCTTACTATAACATCTATAATGCTCCTGTTTTAAAGATAGTTTGAGTTTCAAGGCAGGACAATAACTCCACTGAATTAAGGGTGGAATAACAGAACTGAGTACTGTTCTGCAGTGCCTCCGAAAGTTGACAATGAGTTGTAATTTCAACTGTGACCAAAGGAGGGAATTTTATTAGGTATTTTGAATAAATACAAATTATCTAAATGAAATGAGTTGCATTTAAATTAAAGCAAATTAAATTTCTATACTGTGTCTGCTGGCTTGAATTATATGGTATAATGTTATTTGTATATTTATTTATATGTTTAATTTCTATGGCCACCCATCTCAGTCAATGACTGGGCAGCTTACAGTTCAGAAAATATATTACAAAAAGTTAAAAATTACCCAAAAATAATAAAAAACATTTAAAAACAAAACCAGTAAAACCAGTAAAGAACACTGAAAACATCCATTTCAAGGTACACAAGAGCAAGCTATTTGTCCCATTAGAAATATAGCCAGGAAATAGCACATTCAGGCTTGGGAACATAGGCTTTTAGGGCCTTACGAAAGGCAAACAGGGTCGGGGCTACTCTAATCTCCAAAGGGGAGAATGTTCCATAGAGCAAGGGCTATTGCAGAAAGAGCTTGCCTTCTGGTCCCCGCCTGCCAATATATACAAATGATGTATATATACAGTATATATTTCCTTGGGTTTCCTATCTAGTTGAAATCTCCCAGGAATAAATGAACAATTATAATTCAGAAATAAAAAGGCAAATAATTAAAAGCTATCTCTGAAGTGAATTGCCTAGTTCCAAGTTTTTTATCTTCAGGAAAGTCTTTACATTAATTCACACTCGGTTTATAAGGTATGCTGACCAGAAATTCAGATTTCACTATCAGATTGTATTACTGGGGAAAATGTTTCCCCCCAAAAATCTGCTGCTGCCTTGTACTGCAGGAAAAGATCAGAATGATTTGGAAACTATCACTAAGATAAATCTACCATTATTAATTGTCTTGCTGAAGAAACAATAGATTTCTGAAGAATCACATTTTGTGAAATTCTATGCTCTATGAAGTATCTCTCCTCAATATGGAATTTCTAGGATATGCTGAAATTGCAGTTATCAGAATTTTAGGTTACCAAGCTAAATGGAATTTTAGAGGTTGCTGTCTTAACATCTGAAAGGTCCTAGTTTGGAGAAAACTGTTGTAGCTAATTCCATAGCCAAGCAGCATATGGCAAGCTAATGGAAGTATGTCCCCAAAATTATTTAACTAATCTGACTGATTGAAAAATTGGTTTCAAATACAGAAGATACAGATCTTGACTAAATTATCCCCAGTGATCATTTTGGAAATCCTAGACTTAGACCATTTTAAATCTTAGCGTTCTCCAGCTTTCACCTATACTTCTGTATTTCAGTGCTCTGCCACTGCCTCATGAAAACTGGAAAGCCTTTCTTACTTTTGCCGGAGATTGTTGAGATCCTCCAGCAAGTTGTCTCTCTCAATCTCCAGCCTGGATTTAGAGTTGGAGAGTTGGTCTACTTGGTGACGTAGCTCCCTCATTTCTTCCTGGTAAATGTCGGCCAACTTATTGGGCTCCTTGTCTCGAAGTTGATTGAGCTCAGCAACAAGAACTTTGTTCTGTTGCTCCAAGAAGCGAACTTTTTCGATGTAACTGGCAAAACGGTCATTCAGCTCCATCATTTCCACCTTCTCATTGGTGCGGGTCTCTTTGAATTCACTGTTGAGAGCATCCGCCAAAGAAAAATCCACCTTGTCAGAGGAGAACTTGGGGCCAGAATGGAAACTGAGCCTGGCTGTCTTCAGCTTAGTGACAGAGAACTGGGTAGTGGGAGATGGAGGAAAGTATCTGCGGCCTGGCGAGAACCTCAGGGCATGGTGGACAGAGGTGGTTTGTGAGCCGAAGCGTCTTCCATAGGATGAGAGTCTATGTCCTTCCATGGTCAAAATGTTTTTGCAGGCTCTGCAAACTCAGGGTTTTCTGTATGTGTGCTGCACTGGGTTTTATGCAGAAGGATTAACCATCCCTGCCTAATCATACGCCTGTGAAGGGCTGGAAGAGGGGGAGGAATAGGTTGCCTGCCAGGCCCCAACATATTTCATATTTACCATGCCAAGTGCCCTGGCAAAGAGAGAAAAGAAAGACATTAGGCAGGAGCTTTGAGCATTCTTGATCAAAAAGAGAGAGAAAGGACTTGGATGACTTTGCTTATGATGATCACCAACTCCTTGCAACTCATGTGATAAGGCAATATGATGTTATCAAGAGTTAGATCCCCTTGCACTCCCCCCCCCATTGCAACCATTAACCACCTCAGTTACCTTGGTCTAAGAGAGGGAGGGAGTAGGAAAGGGTTTCAGACTGAAGTATAGCAAACTTGAGCATTTTTTGGGAATATGAATAGCATTACCTGTCTCTTTCTCAGCAATCTACTGCATTTTCTTTAAGTATCCAAATGCCAAGAGTTTGATTCATCTCATAAACAGATAGCTGAAAAACTAATTAAATCAGTTTTAAATTTAATTTTCAACTTCTGACTGACTTTCAATTCCAGCAGATCCTTGAAGACAGGGATGAGACTGATCTATTATAATTTTAGATTTTTTTTTTCAATTCAAGTTGAAAAATGATACCACTAAAAAGGACAGTACTAACAAGAGTGGGCACACAAGCAATCCATTATCTTAGTTTTATAAAGAGATACCAGACTAGAACTTGTTAGGAAAATACTTCTATATATATATACTTATCCTTCCTAAACCTTTCTCAGGTTTTAAATGATAAATCCCATCTTGAAGAAAGTTGCTGTTACTCAAGACTAATTCATTGTAATATCAGATGTGTCTGGCCTGAGATGGTGCTTGTATATGTTACAATCTTTCTCTTGCTTGAACAAGATTAAGAACTAAATAGGGATAAATTTTACTTTAAATAACCACTTTACTTTTCTAAGAATAAAAAAAGAAGGCAAAATAAACAACCAGGAACGAGTCACATCATTGCTGACATTAATTGAATTCTTGGTTTCTGGCCCTGCTGAGATAAGTGGATGGACAGCAGACACAAGATTGGTTGATTCCAAATAATAAATGATTTTGCTCACTGGAAAGCACAAAGGATGTTAACACAACGTGAAGGAGAAGATAATACTGCATTTTTTACATTATTATTGCTATCATTTACATTTTTTAAAATCCTGCCTTCTGCTACCTGTGTACTAAAGAAAACAAAATGCAAAAAGGTCTTGTTCAATAACAGTTTATTCAAATAAACCAGCCTTCTCCAATTTAGTTCTTCTTCTCTTAGTATTAGAACATGTACTTTACATAAGGAAGTCTCAGGTTCCATTCCTAACCATCTTTATGTAGGATGGACAAACTCTAGCCTGGAAAAATCATTGCCATTAGGGTCTACAGTGCTGATCAAGATAAACCAGGTAGCTTCCTGTATTCCTACTGTGGTAAGAGTCCAGAGAAATAAATATTTTGGGGAATATTAAAAAGGCAGAATATATTTCCCCAAAGGAATAATGGAGAAGATCTTTAAAAAAAAAAACAGAAACCAGCTCCCAGAGGGGCCCCAGTCATTCTCCCCCAAGCAGAAACTAGGCAGAGGCCAGCTTTTAGAAATGCAGATGTAATAATCCATTCAGGAAGGTTGGAGTCAGAAAGCTATTAGAAAGACAAAGACACCTAAAATCTACATACCCCCACTCAAATTCTAAGGACAGGAGACATAATAGGATTAACCCATCAATATCAAAAAGGCACACTCTGATTCAACTCAAAGTACATGATACATGAAATACAAAGCTGCAAACAGGAACAGGAAATAACCTCAAGAGCCCCCAAAGGTATAAAAGCCCACCCTGCTACATGTGGTCAATCTTCCCAGAGCCATATTTCTGTCTTGCTCTGTTCTTCAATAAACTACAACCTTCTTTCTAAGGCAGTCTCCATTTTGATTATTCCTGGCTTGGACTGGACCCTGATGAAGACTTCTTCTTTCTACACCATGTTTCCAGTTGTATTGTCAGGCCCAAGAACCAAAAACAATACATGGAATTACTTCTGAATAGTTATTTTGTTATTGTTCGCTTACAAACAAACCAAAGCAATTATCTGCAATAATAATAATAATAATAATAATAATAATAATAATAATAATAATAATAATGTTGGAAGGAACCTTGGAGGTCATCTAGTCCAACCCCCTGCTCAGGCAGGAAACCCTATACCATTTCAGACAAATAGTTGTCCCGTCTCTTCTTAAAAACTTCCAGTGTTGGAGCATTCATCACTTCTGGAGGCACGTTTTTCCACTGGTTAATTGTTCTAACTGTCAGGAAGTTTCTTCTTAGTTCTAGGTTGCTTCTCTCCTTGATTAGTTTCCATCCGTTGCTTCTTGTCCTGCCTTCAGGCACTTTGGAGAATAGCTTGACTCCCTCTTCCTTGTTGCAGTCCCTGAGATATTGGAATACTGCTATCGTGTCCCCCCTTGTCCTTCTCTTCATTAAACTAGACATACCCAATTCCAGCAGCCTTTCCTTATATGCTTTAGCCTCCAGTCCCCTAATCATCTTTGTTGTTCCTCTCTGTACTCTTTCTAGAGTCTCAACATCTTTTTTACATCATGGTGACCAAAACTGGATGCAGTATTCCAAGTGTGGCCTTACCAAGGCATTGTAAAGTGGTATTAAGACTTCACGTGATCTTGATTCTATCCTTCTGTTAATGCAGACCAGCACTGTGTTGGCCTTTTTGGCAGCTGCAGTACACTGCTGGCTCATATTTAAGTGATTGTCCACTTGGACTCTGAGGTCCCTCTCACAGTTACTACTATTGAGCAAGGTACCCCCTATACCAGTGGTTCTCAACCTTTTTAATGCCGTGACCCCCCAACCGGTCGTAAGTCGAGGACTACTCAACCGGTCGTAAGTCGAGGACTACTCAACTGGTATAGCACCATTTGCAGAATGGGACTTTTGGCGGGCTCAGCAGGGCAGAGACAGCCTGGACAATTTCTATTGGCTTTTGAAAGCCAATAGAATTAGACTCTATTCAAGAGAGTCTATTCTATTGGCTTTCAAAAGCCAATAGAATAAAAGGGAGTAGCACAGCTAAGGAAAAGGGGAAAAAATGGCGGACTGCGTTGTTTGGCGACCCCCGTGAAATGGTCGTTCGACCCCAAATGGGGTCCCGACCCACAGGTTGAGAACCACTGCCCTATACTATACCTGTATATTTGGTTTTTCTTGCCTAAATGTAGAACTTTACTTTTTTCACCATTGAATTTCATTTTGTTAGATAGTGCCCAGTGTTCAAGTCTGTCCAGATCCTCCTGTATCCTAAGCCTGTCTTCTGGAGTGTTGGCTATAACAACAAATATATTTCTGTGAATTGCTAGGAAGGGTCTGACCTTGCTTTCTTCCTGCCTAACTGACATTCTTAGTTCTACTGTCACTCTTCCCTCTGGGGAGGAGCCCCTCCCTTCTGCGGCTCTTGACCACATTTCACCACCTGTGTTACCTGAGCCACCACAGCCATTCAACAATGTGGAGGGACTAAAGCTTGTGAAAATCAATGTAAAAAGACATTGGTGAGTTTTTCATTTTCCTAGGAATTGGTCAAACCTACCACACAACTCTACCTAAAATCCAGGAGCAGGTGGGTGATAGAAAGTTGCACAGGGGCTAGAGTAATTGAGCATGTTTCAGACATATATTTGTTACTATGTTGTGGACAGGCCAATTACAATGCGTATTCATTTACGGTACTGGTCAGACCTTTCCCACCTCAGTATTATATAGTACCATTTTAATTGCAAATAGCTCTTGATGCTCCCAATTCTCTGGAAATTACCCATGGCTGGGAAAAAGTTTGACTCAGTTGCTTCTGTCCCTGCCACACTCCTGGTCTACAGCTGTCTCATCTCATTCCAGTTCTTGCTTAACTACCATTCCCCCCACCCAATTTGTGAACAATCCTGGCTGACCAGGCCCAGCGTCCTTCTGGAGCCAGAAGCAGACAGTCCCACAAAGAGCCTTACTAATAGACCTGAGGCCACAGCATGAGCTCTTTTCTTAGAACAGAAGGAGCTTTGTACTCTATGTCCTGTCCCAAACTTTCCAGTTTCATGCTCATCATTACAAGATTGATACCAACTTCCCAGCTCAACTGCCATTGTCAGAAAAACTGAGAATTGCTGAAGGAACACAGTGTCCCCAGGGAAGAAATTGACAAAAACAAAGAAATCGAAATTAATGGGGTGTGGGTATGGGAGGGGAAGCATTATTGAAAACCTCTGTCAAAGAGAACTTTGTAGAACTATAGATGGGCCAAGTGCTGCATGATTAAAGAACTACATGCCAGCAAAAGATTCCAAGTACATTTTTTAGATCCTATATTGCTTCAGGGATAAGGCTTTTACTTAGGCTGAAAGTCACACTTCTGCCTTCCATTTTACTAGCTCTATACCATTCTAAATGTCAACTATCTAAACCAGGGGTGGGAAACTGAGTCAAGAATTCTAGGAGTTGAAGCCCACAGGTCATAAAGGGACAATAGTTCCTCATCCCTAGCCTAAAGTCACATGGTATAGGAAATGCAAGCCCAAACCATCTGTATTTGTTCTCATGAGTTTTTTTAATAGGATATCTTTGTATCTTGTCCAGAGAAAATGGTTTGGTCCTTGGAAAGTTTATTCTGGCCACTCCTCAGGCAAGAGCCTCTAGGTTGGTTTTCCATCAAATAAGTATCTGAAGTAGATAGTCTGAGGTAGTTTGACAATAGTCTTTTGTCATTCCTGGTTCAATTTGCAGATTTATCTTTTTATTATATGCATTTATCCATGACTTGATGATACCACTCAGAGATTTTTCATGTGAAAGCGTAAATGTGTTTATCCAATGGTAAAAATCAAATGAAGAAATAGAACAAAAATAATGATGGAGGAAGAGGAAGTCTTTTGGCTTTAAGAGAAGGGGGTTACTATATTTTCAAATATATTCAGGTCTGTCAC